CGGGGCCCCGAAGCCCCCGGCGAGCCGCGGGGTGGGCGGTGTAACCTCCGCGTACAACTGCGGGTCCTGCTCCTGCCTGTTGTAAAGCACAAAGTGGTGCCCTTTCTGTGCTACCTCCCAGGGTGACCTGAGCTATAAATCCCATCCTATCTCAGACGCAAGGAGCCTTTTGTTTGACCTTTCAGGGAATCTATTTGATATTAACCCGAGTATCTGTTAATAAAGAAGGAGGAGGGTCTGCTCCTCCGAACTCTTCATTCAAGCAGTCTTCAGCTCTGCATTTTTAAGGAGACTGCTTGTGTTAATAGGGATTAGACACGCTTCTAAAGACTGTTGGGTCTTGTACCGGCTGTTTAACCCACAGGCAAGTGTTTGAGTTTTATTAACACATTTTCACAGTCAACATGGCAGCAGCAGAGATTTCCAAAGGAAGGATCATCTTAGGGATGGGAGCATAACTTGCAGATACACAAACAGATATCGAAAACAAATATAAATATGTGTACACGTTAAAGCTTCACATCTTCGTGATATACAAAGCTGTCATTTATTTAATTCTACGGAGGGAAAGGGAATGAATCTTTAAATTGGTAAAAACTTCTGCGTTTTGAAATCTGGCGCTAAAGAAACTCCAAAAAGTGTGATGGGTGTTTTGTCTGGGAAATAAAAATTGCACCTTATTCTTCATACTACACCATGTTTGGGACAGAATTTTTTGTATGTTCACCTTCCTGACCCTTTTTACACCAAAAAAAAGTACAAACAAACTCAAACCATATTTTTTCCAGAAAATGCTTTTCTGAAGTGATGTGCAGTGTTCCTTTAACTTGCCTGTGGCCTGATTTAGGAATGCCATATTTTGGGTGTGTTGGTATAAAATTTCCTATGTTTTTTGGCCAAAAAAATCAAAGACACTCCACAACACTTTCTGTTTCAGTGCTTGTTCCATTCCCTTCCTACATAATTTTCTCACATTGTTACTTTTATCTATAGAGTGTGTGTCAAGACTAGAATATTTCATATCTGCTCTCTTGTTTGAATTTCCAAGTCCTAAAAGAGGACTAAGCTCCTTTTTTTCCTTTCTTTCCTCATTTTCCTTAGTTACATACATACATAATTATGTAAGTTACATACATACATACATACACATTATTAGGGAGAGATGCTGATATCTAATTTGAGCTACAAACATCTGCAGTTTCTTCCTCGGAATTAGAAATGTTTAGAACTGTAATGCTGACACATTCAGCCTCTACAGTGAGCTTGTGTGGTTATATACATGCTGTGTAATCTTGACATTTTAATCTTAAGAGTTTGCTGCTGCCAGCATTTCTTAGGCATGTTTTGGATTCCTCACATCTACTGCTTGAGCTTCCTTGTCTTTCTGAGTCACCTGTAGTTTCCTACAGTATTGTCTTCCCTTTTGTAAGGAAAATATAAGTACATGTTTTTGCACATCATTTTTACCTGCCTGCTTTTAAGTATTCCCTGGTTGGCCTTTATCTTTAAGCTTTTCATCAGGCTATCTGCCACCAGGCAAAAGCAGAGATGAAATAAAGTTTGGAATTCTTTACGTACCTGGGAGTATTCTTTAAGTGACTGGGAGTATGAGTTCTATTTGTGACCCCTCCTGTTATCCAAATAGAATGTAACATTTGTTCTTAATATTTTTTTGCTTTCTTCTTTGTTTAACACACTGGAAAGAAAATAAATAAAATAAAATTAATTGCAAAAATCCAGCTTAATCGATTTCAGATGTTTTCATCTAAACTGCATGCTCCAATAGCCAGCAAATCCAGTTTGCCAGTACAGATGGCATTGTCATGCTGAATCCTGTCAGATCTTCCTGTATTTCCTTACAGATAAATAAATACTTCTTGACCCATCTTGGTTGTTAAAGGCAGTAGGGTATGTGCATTAGTCAAGGCAGGTAAAGTTCAACAGACTGCCAGTTTAGGGTTCCAAAGACAATTGTTTTAATTTGATTTTTCATCCAGGTAAAAACAATGTTAAATTCTCCAGGTGATCTCCACTTGGGCTGGTTTTATGTTCAAGCAACCATGCCAAACCCCCCCCCCCAACAAAGATCTGGAGAAATAAAATACATTAGATATAAGTTATTTAAACTACAGCTGAGAATTGGGAATGAACCCTGTCTTAATCCTTTGTCCTGAGCTTCCCTAGTGTGGGTTACAAGTCTGATGCTGGTTCTGTCTCCCACAAAAAAGTGGAACTGCTGAGATAAGGGAATAAAAAAATGTTTTCTCTAAACCTTAAAATCCAAAAGCATAGATTAAAAATTAACTTAAACCACCAGATTGGGAGTGAACCCCATAACATTTTATGGAAAGTACTAGTAAATTCTCTAAAGTCTATTTTGAGAAAAATATACTTTCTGTTTAAATAACGTTTTAGATATTACCATGGGTTCTGGCTTTATTCAAACCTTCTGAACCCTCTATTCAGCACTGATCAGACCCCACTGGGGATGCCGTGTCCCATTCTGGGCTCCCCAGTACAAGGAACACGTGGACATACTGGAGCAGGTCCTGTGGCAGGCCACAGACATGGTGAAGGAGGAGAGGCTGAGAGAGCTGAAGGCAGAGAAGTCTTGGGGGGATCTTTTCAACGTGCATTAATAGCTAGTGTGGGAGTGAAGTACAACAGCTGAGGAACAGCCCCACTGCCAGCTTCATTGCATCTGCTGAAAGAGCAATTTTTGGCAGCTGGAGCCATTACCCTTTTAAATTGCTGCAGATAAATCTGAACAGTGCTCAGGGATCAGAGCTTTTACGTAGAAGCACCCATTTAGTTCATATAGGGTAAGAAAGCAAGTGTCCACAATAACTCATAACTTTCTTCTGCTTACACAGTCCAACTAAATTAATGTGTTCAGTTTTGTTGGGCTTTGGGGGGGCTTCATTACACCAAGCAATTTCAGAAAAAGTTTTGAATTAAGTACATTTTAGCAATTAAATACTCTTCCTCTAAGCGAACTGAGGGAAAAGAAATAGTATATAATGTTATAACTTTTTATGACAAAATGCTTCTTTATCTTGATCTCAAACATTGGATGACAAGAAATGGCATCAAGTTGTGCCAGGTTTAGATTGGATATTAGGATGAAAGGGTTGTCAAGCATTGGGACAGGCTGCCCAGGGCAGTGGTTGAGTCACTATCCCTGGAGGTATTTAAAAGACATGTAGATGTGGCACTGGGGGACATGGTTTAGTGGTGGACTGCACAGTGCTGGGTTAAGGGCTGGACTCGATGATCTCAGAGGGTTTTTCCCAACCTAAATGATTCTAATATTCTGTCATTAAGAGCTTCTTTAAAAATCCTTGGCTAGAAATAAAAACCCAAATTAAAAAGCTGTTTTTAAATACTGTTGACCTTAAATATGAGAGGTCCTCTCAGTGTTTACTTCAGGAGAGCAACGTCATCCCAAAACAAAGATTAGCTTTGAGGAAGTTTTCTTTTGATTAAGTGTGAAGGCTTTTTCAGTATGTTAGATGGTATTGTTTTATTTTTTAAATATACTTCAGTGCATTTTTATAATGTAGAATTTTACTTTTTTATAATGTATTTTTTAAAATGCATATGGTGATTTTTCCTCATTTTTGTTTAGAAGTGTAATCAGTTTATCTCTTCATTTGCCAGCATCACATTTTCAGCATTGGTGAATTGCTGCTATCAGTGTTTTTAGAAGCACAGAATTAATAAATGAATGCCTAATGAGTGCCAGCTAGGTGGCACTGGAAAATGCATTTCCATTCTCTAAGGAAATTATGCAGGTACTGAGCTGAAGAAGCTGCTTTAGCTCATCTCTTTAGGGTCTTCAAAATGTCAGTGTAATTCCTTACACTACCCAAGCTATAGCAGGAAATATCTCATGAACTTGTACCACAGCAAATTCTGAATAAATTTACGAAACACCTCATTGTGCACTACTTTTAATGAGCACTCCTTACTTTTCCTTTTGAGTGTGCACCCTGATTTGTTACCCTTTTTTCCACTCTCTCATTTGTACTAAAAGATATAATTGTAATTGTGAAAGTCCTCTTAAGAATCCAGTTTCTGGCAGCACTGTAAGACACATTTGCTCTGTTTTCTGCTTTGGCAGTAAACCCTACGTTGTTTTTGGGCAAAACAAAGGTGCAAACAGAAGACACTACAAATCATGTTTCTTCACTGAAAGCCAAGTTTAAATGCCACATTCATCAGATCACACATCTGTAAACTTGCAGAGTGTGCTGGAGGGAGGTGTCTTTGCACTTGTGCTTACCTTGCTATGCTGGACCCAAAGGATTCTGCGAGCCTGTGGAAGCAGCTGCTCCCAGCCTGGCTGCAGCTGTGCCCATCCCTCATTACACACAGCTTGCACCACAGTTGTTTCCCATGTACTGTTCGAACTCTCCAGCCAAGCCTGGTCCAAAAGACGCATAAGATCCAGAAATAGCTCCATATTAGAGTTTTGAGAAGGATTATGAGAGGTTTTCTGCATAAAACTCTGGTATGATCTCAGAGGATGTTTTGAAATCCCCAACAAATTACTTCTCACAGAGGCTGGATTAAGATCTGTGGAGTAAATGCAGTTACAGGCCTGTGCTACATCACAGAAAGGAACGAGCAAGAAAAACTTGTATTATTATCAGTATTATACTGATAATAACAAACAGCTCACTGTTGGTATGTATTGCTTCAGTCTTTCAGTTCTATTGTATAGTTTGAACAACAAAGATTAGAGATGGTCCTGTAATGAGCAATGAACACAAAAATTGGATAATCTCCCTCTGGTTTTTAGTACTTCTCTGGATCACAACAGTAAAGTAAAAACAGTTAGAAAAGAATAGACAAGCCTGAGGATTTTGGCTAAGTCATTGTTTCCCAGGGACTGCGTAGCAACTGGTGGCTACACAAAATGGAAAGAAAATAAGGGACATGGGGTCTCTCTGAAAATTCATGCTGTATTTCATTTTCTTCTTTTTAAACCAGCCTATGCACATTTTGGATCCTGTATTAATTTTGGCTCACCTGAAACCTTTCTATTATAACTACTAATTCCTTCTATTTTTATCCGTCACACATATTTTTTTTGCTATTTCATTTTCTTTTCAATAAAGCTCCCCCTGAATTAATGCTTGTGTAGGATTCAGAGGGAGGAGGCTCTGCTGGAGGGAGGAAATTTAATAGGGCTGTGTGTAGGAGGATGAGCAGGTCAAGGAAGAGGAGATGAACCCCATGCTTTGTAAGGAAGGATAAGGATGGTATCAAAATAATGAGGTGAATTAAACAGAAGAGAGAACAGCAGAAAGTGAAAGGAATGGAATGACCTTGTTTTAATAGAAACAGGGATCAATGGCAAGGGAAGTGTTCAGGGAGACAATCCATACAGAGCAGTAATGAATCACGGGAATCAGTGCTTTAGGAATAGGATGCAAACAGGAATAAAATATTTAGAAGGCTGCTGCATTTACCAGGCTCTTCCAAACTGCAGTGTCTTTCATTAGATTATTAAAACAGACGTGTACTAAGGAACATTCTTTTACATACTTATTTACTTTAAGAAGTCACAAAATGATCAAGGATTGTCTGACTAGATTAGCTGTGGTATTTTGCATATCAAGGCACTCAAACTGACTACTTTGCAAGGCAGCCAGGTGCTGGAAGACAGTAGCTTACTGTTAAGGATCAGGCACTGTGGAAATCAGTATTTCCTGAAGATACAAATCTTTTACATAATCCTTTCTGTATTATCCCCTATATCCTATCCCCACTAGATTTATGAAACCGGCGATTCACCACTGATCCGATTACTCCAGTTAGCACCAACTGAAAACAAACAAAAAAACACACGTACCTTCACCTCAAAATGCTGTGAACATCCAGCTGACTCTGGGGAAATAGGAGCTCCGGGAAAAATCTCGGATCTGGCAGCAGGTATTGACAGTGGTATTAGGACACAGAATTAAGGAATTAATTGAGCAAAGGTAGATCTAAATCATTTCCGTAGCATTATGTCCATAACACTTGACCAGATGGTAATACATTGATAAGAGGTGCTACTGACGTTACAGCAAATAATCTGTGGAAGTACCAGTAAGGAACACAAAGCCAGTCACAGCTGTTACCTCGATGGATACTCTGTGTGAAATTTGTCTTCTTTGTGTTCATGGGAGGTGGATTGTGGGATGCGTCCACTGAGTTGTGTAGTGACTTAAATATGATGTCAAATTATCACCCAAAACTGTTGATCATAATGTAATTAGTAAAAGCTGGACTATTGTACCTCTGCAGCTGCCAGCCACCTACTCACCTACCTCAGGGATAAGCGGATCTGTTTCTGTTAATGAGGATTAGACACCGTTATGGAAACTATTGATTTACATATGCCCAGATAAATGCAATTAAACTTGTGATATGCTATTGTACTTCATTTAAAAAAACGCCAAAAAACAGCAGTATCCTAGCACTGAAAAAGCCTCCAGGAATTCTGATCCAGACTATGACACACTGCAGCCACATTATCCTGACTATCTAGAATTATCTTTTGTTACTGCTCTCTGCTGCAGAGTTTCACAAATGTATTTAAGGATTGTTTCATTGCACTGGTACTACAATCCTGATGAATGCAAAAAGGCCCCAAATATCCAGAGACTTTTCAAAACTTAGTCTAGTGGTTCTCATAAATCCTAAACTCCGAGAGAAATTTTCAAGGGAAAACGTTCCTGGAAGGCTTTGGTTTTCACATTCACAAATGGAAGGCCAGAGAGATGCTCAGTAGGATTGTTTTAACCAACTATCTGCACCAGATGAAGAAGCTGTACACTTTGTGTCAGCGAAAAATGCCAAAGGAAGAGGAAAAGAATAGAAGGTTAGCAATGCACAGTTTTTTTCTTAATTCATGGTCCATTTAGGAATGGATATTTTTTTATACAGGAGAAGAAGAGAGAGATGGGAGAATTCTACAGAAACTATTGCACAACTTTGATTATCAAACAGCTGAGCAGGCACTGGAAATCTTCAGACAGAGCTTCACACATCATGGCACGTGCCAGTGGTGGCACACAGACCACTGCCAAGCAACGTGCTATCCATGAAAGAGCCAAGAACTGCTCTGCCACAGTGGCTTCCAATAGCAACTTCAGGTACTGCACACCCTCCTCTTCAGGCCAGGGTCCCCAGGGCACACAGACAGAGGGCTTTGTGAAGGAAGTTAGTGTATGCTCCTTCAGTTTACACTCTTAGCTGTGATTCACTTTTGGACACCTCAGATACTTGAGGAAAGATTTAACCATCTAGGTTATTCCACATCCTACGCTTTGATAATTCTGATGTGCCCAGGGTGAACATTATTAGTTTTTCAAGCATAGCTAATTTTGCATTATAACAATATTTTTTATTATTCTTAACTAACTCTTGCTTTTTTTTTAATTGTAATTTTTTAATTACTCTGCCAAATTCACCACTAATGGGTTCCTCTTACACAAAAAAAAGCTAGCTTTCTTCTGCATGTTTTCGTTCCTTGGTTATGTTCTTATGAGCTTGCAAATCTGTAAGCACTTTTCTCCATTTGCAGGGCAATGTGGGGAGGTCAGGATGTTTATAAGGACCTGGAATTCCAAAAAATTCATTTTGTATTTTAGTTTTGATTATTGCCACTTAAGCATAATGACAACATCCATCCAGCTAAAAGTTCAGTTTCACTGGAAATTGCTTTTTTTTCCAGTGAACCACTGCTAATCAAAAATGTATGAGCAATGCTTTCATAAGTAAAAAAAAAAATAGTAAAACAGTCTCATAAGTAAAATAAAATAAAAAATGGAGAGTGAACAACTTTCTGTTCTAACGTGGCCATCTGTCATTTATAAAGACATCACCCCATTAACCTGTCTAATCAACTCCATTCTTTTTTCAAAGTTGGTTAAGTAAGTTTATGAGGAGACGTAGATGTTCTCTTGATTAAATCTGTTGTAAAACGGCCTCCCTGGTGTTCTGCTTTGTGTGCATTTACACATATAAAGGTAATTACAAGTACATATCACTACTGTAAATTCCATGCTTGTCATATTACAGTACATGACATTTTCATTTCCTCCTGGTGAAAATGAAATCTGATAGTTTCTGTTCAAGCAATAATGACCAATTAGAATTTGTTATTATTAATGTCTATCCTAAAGTATTCCAAGTCATGAGGTGGTTTCCTCCTAGGCAGTTGAATTTATAATGTGGAAAAAAGGGGGTTGACATGTTGCTATACCACCTTCAGCCATTCCCCCTCAAGACTGGTTATTCCTTCAACAAACTGGGAGATCCTTACGAAAAACCCACAATACAAGAGAGAATATTACTGAATTCAGGTTTAGAGTTGAAATAACTGATTCTCCTCAGCAGAAATGTCTGTCTCTCAGCTTTCCTGCCTGACATTTTGCTTTTATCACAGGAACCAGAGCTCAGTTCTCCTGCAAGTGCCCGTAGCTCCGGAGAAGTGGGAGTCAGTTAAGTTGCATTAGTCCTGATGCAATGTGGTCACTTATCTGCATCGGGATTTCTTCAGGGCCTTCAGGTTCCTCCAGTAATGGGGAAACTATTGCAAACTGACCCTTAGAAGAACTGCTCAAGGAATGAAATCAAATAACTGTGCTCTACTGGAACCACAACAGGAAGGTTTCTATAGCATGCAGTCAAAGTTTATGTAAATACCTGAAATACCAAGTGCTTTTTAAATGCTTTACTAGTCACTTAAGTAAGTCCCAAATAGGTTGTACCTGATAAAATTCCAGTTTTGTCACTACCAATTTCAGCATTAGGATAATTTTTTTAATTGCCTGACTCTTGTTTAAAATAAAATACCTGTCTTCAAATCCTAGGATGAGTAGATTTACACATATGAATAATTTTTTAAAGGATCCTTCAATGGTCATAGAAAGCAAATTTCTTTTTAGAGGAGTTTGAGAACCAAATCTCTGTGAAATCTTCCCTCTAGAAACTTTCCTCTCTAGAGGTAACTTGAGAGATAGGCAATGTACAAACCCACAGTGAAGAGAAGAGGAAAGACAGCTCTATATCATATGTGGAGAGAGAGAGTGAGAGGGTTAAAAAAGAGCAAGCAGTTGGAATTATATCATGATACATCATATGATAGAAAGCAGATGACAACGTTTGAGATGCTCCATTTGGAAGATGGAAACAGATCTCCTCTACTCTCACTGAAATGCTGTGGAGAAAGCTGGTAAAGAAACTGTTGAGGAGTGTTACAGCTCAAGAGTGGCCAGTACCTCTCTTGACAGATCTCAGATATTAAAAATTCAAAGGAGCATAAAAGTATTCAGACAAAAATTAAATACCCAGAACCTTGTATCAAGCACAGAGACACAAGAATGGAGAATATTACTTGCCACTTTTTCTTCTTTCCTCTTTCCCAGGCCATAAGCACCTGTATCATAGTCACAAAGTGGCAGCTGTTTCATCTCCTTTTTCTCTCCCTGAAGAAAACTGACACTTGGAAAAACAAGGAGTAAGCTTATGCCACCTTTACAGTCTGAAGGCAACTGGATGTAATACCATGCAGCAGATAAAACTCTAATCTAGTGTTGGCAATTTTAAAAAATGAGTGGTTTTGCACAATTTGAGCTTTACTTTACTGGGTCTTCCCTCAGAATTTTATTTTTTTCTCAAAAGCAAAGGGAGGTAGTAGTAGCAGAAGCAGAGAGTAGAAGCAGCAATGGCAGACTAAATACCCTGAACTTCAGCTTGTTCAGGCAGCAGGCAGACAGGATCTCATGAGAAGCTGTGGATGCCCCATCCCTGGAAGTGTTCAAGGCCAGGTTGGATGGGGCTTCGAGCAATCTCGTCTAGTGGGAGGTGTCCCTGCCCATGGCAGGGGGTTGGAAACAGATGATCTTTAAGGTCCCTTCCAAACCAAATCATTCTGTGACGCTATGATTCATGGGAGGGTGCTCTAAGGGGCAAAGGGCCACAGAGACTGGTCAGTCTTGGAGGCCAGCCTCCTGAAAGCACAAGGACAGTCCACCCTGAACTGCAGGAAAATGGGTGTGCACAGCAGGCAGCCAGACTGGTTGAACAGGAAATTCCTAACTCAGTTCAAACGTGAAAAGGAAGTGTATGGGGCTGGAAGAGTGGATGGGCTGAGCAGCAGAAATGGAAGTTTTGTGGCTCTGAAGGGATGGAGTTGGGTGTTACGTGCTGTTGCACATTGCCAGAGAGGCTGTGGAGTCCACAACCTTGAAAATTTAAAAAACTTGAATGCATAAGACTCTAAGTAATCTGACTGTACTTTCCAACCTAAATTACTCATCACTCTACATTCTTCACAGAATTAACAGTCATACAGGCCAGCCTAGACCACTTTGCTCAGGGCACTGTCCAGCTGAGTTTTTACTATCCCTACAGAGAGGCTACTCACGATTTTAACTTAGCCATGTTAATTGAACCTAATTTAAACTTAATCCTTACTGGTTCATTTCTGGCAGCCTTTCTTTTCAATTTGTGTGAAATGTATGTATCAGTATGTGGGTTTCTTTCTTGGAGGGAGTGTCAGTTTTCAAATCAGGATCTGCATTGTCATGAGTATTTCAAAGATGGAATCAATTAACAGCCTGATTTAATGTAGAATTTTTTTTTCAAATTAAATACAGACTGGAGGCTATCTTTTAGTTGTTCTTTCTTATGTGTATAGGCAGTTTGTAAAAGTATAATGTGATATTTTTAAATTAGAGGTATTTCAAGTTATTGTTAAAAATGGTCTCATTTTGAATATTGGCCGTTATAAAAAATGAGATTTACAAATATTTTCTGATACCCAGTCACATCAGAGGTACAAAAATGCTGTGTGTTGTTAGCATGATGAAAAATAAATTATATGAGAATAGCATAGATTTTCTACAACATTCACTGCACTTTTTATTCAACATTTTATATAAATTGATCTAAACATACTTACAGTAAGGAAGTGAACTAGATGACTTCTTGATGGCACTTCCTATAAAATATTTCTGTGATTTCTTTGTCAGGAAATTATTACAGATCTGAGCCCAGGGTTGAGAAGTCTTTCTGCCTAAGCCTATGCCTATTGAAATGCACTGAGGTCTCTTCAGTTAGATCATTGTATTTAGCTGAAAGAGATCCAAAAAAGAAGGTTTAGGTGCAGAAATAAAGGTTTACATGCTCTGGCAGTGCAGCTGTACTGGTTCTGATGACAATGTTCTGGGTTGTTATTTCCTCCTCTTTTATTTTAAGCACCCTTGCAGTAGCATGGCAAGGGTGTTTATCCGTTTAAGAAGGATCTCTCTTTTTCAACTTACATTTGTATCTCAAAAGGATACAAAATTAAAATAGATGGGATCAGATGTTAGCACATAACCTCACTGTTTGAATTTAATAAATACTGCAAATTGCAGTCTTGCTTAAAGAAAGGAGCAAAAACTGAATAAAGGGTTTGGGATTCAGCTGTAAAAAATAACCATAAGTATCCACACGTTTTTAAAAGCTTGAATTCCAGCGTTACGAGAGTGTGAATGTTGTCGGGGACTGGATATAGTATTATTCTAGTGCTAAGTCTATTTTCTGCTTTTTGAAAAAGAATTTTCCACTAAGATTATGACTGCCAGATTTCCTACACCACTTGCTACCCTCGAATATTTTGGAGGCTCCCATCATCTTAACACAAGCTGTAAAAGAGGTGATTTGGCCCTGGCACCACAGACGTGCCAGTTCCTGTGACACTTCAGACTCCTGGTAGTCTAAAGTGTACAATTTGAAAACACTTATGTGAGCAAATAACCGTGCTCTCCACTTACTAAATTAATTTAACGAGCCACATTGTAAAATTATACTGCAAGCCATTCATGATCCTTGAGATGAAACATGTTACTCTTCAAATAATGCTGTACAGTGAAATACTTACACCTTGAAAGGAGAAAAAAAAATGACAGAAATATCTTAATTTAACTGATCTCTCATATTTTTAACATATTGGCCTCATACAACTGATGATTGGGTAAATAGGCATTCAGGCACATGCCTTTTAGACAAAAAATCTTAAAGTCTCATTTTCTTAATTTGAAGTGGGTGCTGGATAAAATGCATGGGGAAAGTCAGATTTTTCTGCCAACTACAGCATAGTGGAAATCTTCTTGCATAATGAAGTGTTAACTAAGTCATGCTTTTGGAGAATGATTTAAAGTGTGATTCCAGCACCAAGAGACTGTAAAAAAAAAAGCAGGGCTCCATGGTGTCTCAGTAATTTCAGCATAAGATATGCTGAGTTTGCAAGGAAAAAAGGTGGGAATGTTTGGTTTGGGATTTTTTCCCCCTCCTAATTTCCAGTTCCCCAAACTCCTCCTTTGGGCTTTTTATATCTCATGCATCATTAGATGGAATAAATTATCATCAGACTAAATTGCATAATTAACTATGGCTGAGTTGGCATTAAAGGGGGAGAGATTTTAACCTGCACCATAGGCAAATTTGGTGGGAAATAACTGACAAAGAAAATGGTCAATCACCTCACTGGGGCTCTTCTACAAAATAATCTTTTATAGAAGAATCAGAGCTTTCAGAAAAGCATAATGAGCTAAAACAAGCTTGTATAAAAATATGCATGATATCTCAGTTTAAGGAAAACTCAGTACCAGTTTTATGGATAAATTTTAGATTGTTCTATCAAATATCAGGAAAAAAAACCAGAGAACTGAAAAACAGAGAGATAAATAAAATTTTGGTATTCAATCATTTGCTTAAGAAAATAAAAAAGAAAAAGGTAGATAGAATACATAGAAATGCCCTATAACAGGTAAATCTGAATAATCCACTGAAGTATCATCTAAAAAAGCAGAGGATTATGGAGCACAGGCACGATCTGTCCCCGTATCCTGTTTAATTTGCAGAAGTAAAAAATTAAGAGGCAGCATATAACATCTGGTCTCTATTCCCCACAGAGACCAGATTTAATTGTACTTATACTAAGAGACCATTATTTTTGTCTAAACAGCTTTCTGCTCTTTCAACCACAGTACTCTTAGTACCTTGGCTCTGCCTGTGCACAGTGTCTCCAGCCCACCCTCCAAAGCAGCAGCAGAAGGGGATGGGGATTTTGGGGGAGAGGGCAGAAGTGGCCCACTCCCAAGGAAGGGAAGCTCCCTTCCCTTCCCATTCCCCACTGCTAGGGCAGGGGGAGGGCTGCAGGGAAAGGCTGTGACCTCAGCAGGCAGCACAAGAGGTGAGAGGGGCTAGAAATGCAGTGTGCTTGCTCCCTGTTATTAGGAATGCTGGGAAGTGATCCATGCTAGCAGTAGTTTTTTCTTCATAATTTATGTGTTATGCCATAATGTTTTGCTACAGTGGGATTGAAACTATTCGAAGTATTTTTAATTAACGAGGACCCATAAAGGAAGAAAGCTATATCCGTACAAGAAAATAGGACAACAGGGAGCCAGCCAGAATTCTAAGGAAAATACTGTCAATGAGGCATAAGGCTGACTGAGTCTTGACTTACACTGTGGTGCAAATATTTAGGGCGAGCTAAATAATGTAAATTTGAAGCAAAATCAAAAGCAGAACGTTAAATAGGCTGTAATAGCGCTATGGAAAAGCATATACTCACCAAGAATGGACACTGCCTGGCAAAGCACTTGGACCATGCTTTTTTTCTGCCTAAATTACACATGAACTCTTGACTAATGTTGCTCCAGATGAAATTCAGGTTTGACTAATGTATTCCTTAATAGCTGCTTGTTGTCGGCAAAAGCAAAGAGTTATAGATAACAAAATTAAATATTTTTTTCCCTAAATTAGAGGCTTTTAGGTAAAAAGCTAACTGAAGTGAATTTGCCATGGAAGCAGGCCACCAGGATTTAGCTTGCTCTGCAGAGGTGCAGAGTTGGTTTTGCTTTTTTGCTGTGCAAGTTATTTCTGTAGATTTACCCCGACTGTAAGATTCGCTAAACTGGAAGTGTAAAAACAGTTGTAGGAGTTATCTGAGAAGGAGAGAGGAGAATTTAAAACAAAGAGCTTGTGTTTTACTTTGCTTGTAAGGTAAAAGTAAAGGGAAATTTGGGGATAACGTGTATTATGTATGCTTTATGACAGCTAAAATGAAAGGGAAGATTGCTTTTTTTTACATCTGGAAGGAATAATTTTCTTGGTACAGATATTAAGTAAAATGCTGATAATTCCTTCCTCAAATGTGGAGTACATAAATAAGTTATACAAGAATACTGATTTTGTTGTGCAGTATATTCATAAATATTAGATAAAAAAAGAATCTCAGTTACAGAAAGCAACAAAAGCTAGTGCAGTCTCCTGAGTTTTCCTTTTATTAAAATAAATTAGTAGACTTGTTTGGATTCTTAAAAATAATTTCTACCCAGAAGTTAAACATGTTTAAATAAATTGACTGCATAGATCTTACAATGAAAGAAAGGCCCAACACTACTGCCAGATTTATGAAAAAAGTTTCTTGGTTTTATCTGGTGGATTAAAAAGTATATGTTAAATAAAACATGGTTCCTGTTGATTACTTGATAATAGTTTGAATGGTCTGTGTATAAAAAAAAAATTGCAGGTTTCTCTAAAAGAGTCTGGTTTTGCATGAACTGCTAGTTTTCACTGCTGGTCTTTTTTTTTTTTTTAAAAAAAAAGGTACCAGAAGGTTACATTTTTTAGGAACACTTAAAAACACCTTTGACACATGTAGCAATAAGAAAGTGTTATTCAAAGCTTGACCATTTAAATAGAATTAATAGAAATCCATTTTGTTTAGACTGGAAACCTGAAAGGATGAGACTGAACAAGACTCTCTTTTCCCCCATTTTTCTAGAAACAGTCATACCCTGAAGTGTTGACTGAGCTGTTCATTCTCAGCTCTCTGTGACTTTAAAGGTGACCTTCTCTCTGTCTGCACTGTGTTATAAGGGTAGTGACTGCTCCTTCCTTGTAACCTGTATAAAGATCCTTGGGACTGAACTGATTTGATTTAGGGAAGCTGAGATCAGGAAAGTTTCTGGTACTTCCACTGTCCTTATCTTACATAATGATTACTAGAAAAAGACACTACAGAACCCCTTCACATTGAGGAAACATGGCAAAGGCCAGTAATTTTGGGTGCTAGAGACAAAATCTCAAAGCAGTTAACCAGTTTCATGGCAAATGGACAAAGCTAGAGGAGAAGACAGGAGATGTTGCTTCCTCTATGTTTTCAAAGATTTACAGAGAGCTACATAACACATCCTGACTTCTGAATTACAAAACCACATTTATTCTTAGGTGGGGGTTACAACCCCTTATAAGGAGACAAATAGTTTCTTTTCCCACAAAGCCTTTCTTCTAGAAATAGAGATGCTAGACCTTAGTAATTGAAGCAAGAACTACTTCACACGTATCTTTCAAACTCAGGAGAACACATAACCAGTTCTGACCACAGGAACTTATTTTGTCTGACATGGTGGATATAAAAACCACGTTGCACAGCTTACCTTCAGTTCTTCTGCCTCCCTCCAGTCACCAGGCATCTCCCTCATGGGCTGGTCTGATGGGCTAGTGGACAGGAATAGCTCTGTTTCTTACAGTATTTGAGGAAGCCACTTTGTTTAGAGTGGTAGCAAAGTTTAAAGGTCCTTCCCCTTTACTCCACACTGGTGATGCCGCATCTGGAGAGCTGTGGCTCAGCTTTGACCAGTGGCAGATCTTTTCTGCATCCTGCTGGAACTGGTTCTGTCTGCCACAGGGACAGTTCCTGATGTCTTCACAGAAGCCACCCCTGCACCTCTGCTGCTACCAAAACCTGGATACATGAACCTAACACAGAAAAAAATAATATAAAAAGTGAGAGGGTACAAGAAACATAGTGAGAATTTAAAAATACGTTGAACTGCTCAGAGGGAGACATTGCAAGAAAATTTTAAAAGGGACAAGAGACAAAATATAGCAGGAGGAATTCATCAATGGTCTGGATGAGGGGATTGAGTGTACCCTCAGTCAATTTGCAGGTGACACCAAGTTGGGTGGGAATGTTGATCTGGAGGGCAGGAAGGCTCTGCAGAGGGGTCTGGACAGGCTGGATCAATGGGTCAAGGCCAATAGTATGAGGTTTAACAAGGTGAAGTGCTGAGTCCTGCACTTGGATGGCAAAAGTCCCATGCAGTGCTACAGGCAGGGGACAGAGGGGTGGAAAGCTGCTTGTCAGAAAAGGACCTGCAGGTGCTGGTTGGCAGCAGCTGAAGAACATGAGCCAGCAGTGTGCTCAGATGGTCAAGAAGGCCAATGGCATCTCTGCTTGGATCAGGAAGGATACAACTAGTGTGGCCAGCAGGACCAGGGAAGTGACTGTCCCCCTGCACTCAGCACTGGTGAAGCCACACCTCAAGTGCTGTGTCCAGTTCTGGGCCCCTCAATAAAAGAAAGGCATTGAGGTGCTGGAACAAGTTCAGAGAAGGGCAGCGGAGCTGGCTAATGGTCTGGAGCACAGGTTTTATGAGGAGGGGCTGAGGGAGCTGGGGGTGTTTAGTCTGGAGAAAAGGAGGCTCAGGGGGGACCTTTTCACTCTCTACAACCACCTGGAAGGAGGCCGTAGCGAAGTGAGGGTCAGCCTCTTCGGCCGGGTAATAAACGGCAGGACAAGAACTCCAGCAGGGAGCGGGCACAGGACAAGGACAAGGCCGCAGTGCCGCCTCTCTGCCACCGGGCGGCGGCAGCGAGGAGGGACGGGCGCTGCAGGGCCGCCTTCGGGCCACCGGGCGGCGGCGGCTCCGCGCTCCAGCTCGGATCCCGGTCCGCAGCAGCCCTTGGATCGCCCTGCGCGCACCGCACTCGGAGAAGCGAGAACTAAATCTCAGCTGGCGCTGTTTCATCACCCTCTCGGGGCGGGAAGAACTCCCAAGATAGGAGGGGAAAAGAATGAAGTGCCTCGGGGTCACATGGCTCAAGTACGCTGCATGTAGCTTTGGTGAGCATTAAGGGAAATAAATACAAATACATGCAGCCTGGTCTCAGAGGAGGAAGGATGCTGCTTTTTGTCCCATGTTAACAAGCTACTGGGAAAGCTTGCTTTGCCGTGCCGGGGAGACCCTACAGAAAAGCAAGTCTCGGCTATTTCATTCCTCCAGGATGAGGCAGACTAGTGTCACAGCGTGGAAGGCAATTCTTACATGGTAGTTACTCTGGGATATTTAAATCAACTTACTATTACCATCTTACTCCTTTTCCCATCTAAGGAGTTGAAAAATTCCATTTCTGCCAGAGTATCATCAACTTTATAAACTGCTGCATGCTACAAGACGTCGTTTCTTCATTGTTACTTTACTCACTGGGGAGTTTTGATTTCCACCTTTCTCCCATGAAGTGGGCAGCAGAAGATGAGCCACACAAGCAACTTTTTTTGGCTTACTGCAGCTTTCTCTTGTCTTTGTGAGCCAGCTGTGTGGGGATGCAGATGCTACACATGCCTCCCTAGACCAGAAAACCTGCGCCCAGAGGTCTTTGTGCAGCAGCTGTGACCTTCAAGGAGTTTCTTTGCAGGTGATGCAGCATCTTGCACTCATCTGTCCTTAGACTGCTACTTGCTAGTACTGGGATCTGTGCTTCTAGGTCAAACATACATCTCTGGGGATCTGCATGGTATTCCAGCCTTCTTGTGCCTCTGAGCATGGCTTTGGGTCTGCAGCCCAGGGAAGGAAATATTTTCAATGTTTTCCCCATGCTCAGGTGGAGACCCGGCACAAAGGTTCTGCTGCGGCAGAGTTGGCTCAGCGCGGGATATCCAGGGAACCCAGATACCTGAGCTGCTCCTGCCTGTGGGCAGCACTACTCCTTCCTGCAGGAACCACCCTGCGGGCTTCCCTCAGAGACCAAGCCGAAGCTGAGAATTCAAAAATGGGTTTTCCAGTCACTGGCTCCTGTGGCACCGTACAGCCGATCCCTAAGAGAGCTGCCAATGGGGGGAACCACAGCCCCGGCTGGACACGGGACACAATAGCAAAGACACACCCGTCACCATGGGTGACCTGTCATCATGGGTGACCTGTCACCATGGGCTGCAGAGCTCAGCAGGACTTGGCTGGTACTCGTGCTTTGGGCTCTTTTTCTTCCTGGAGCTGGCATTCATGGAGTCTTTTCAATAAAAGGGAAATACTTTCTAATACGAATCAGTGCAATGGGAATTGCAATGAGACTTATTTGACTGACCTGAGGGTCATGTTTCGTGATGTATTTCTGTACCAGAGTCTGAGGTTATATTTAATGTGTCCTTTGGGTGCTCGCTGGGAACGAGGAGGGCAGATGAACAGACACATGTCTTAGAAGAACTGCTGAGTTCAGAGCTGGTCCTGATGACTAGCAGCAAGATACAAAAGTAATTTTGTCAGTGGGTAAAGCATTTACAAACATGTTGCATTTCCAAAAGAGGAGGTGTTGGCTGCCCTATACAGACAAGGGCACAAGGGAGGATAGCTCTGTGGGAAGCCAGATTGTTGCCCATGTAACGATTCAGGGAAAGGACATTAGAATAACTTTGAAGTCCACCTGCCACCTCAACCCCGGCTTTTTCTGTTGCCCAAGATGTGTATGAGTTGTAAATACTCAGACACCCCTCAGTCTGGCCTTTGGGTGGTTTTTGCTTTCTTCCTCATTAAGGCACTTTTGTCTTCAGTATTCCCATCGAACACTTCCCATAAACTGCAGCTTTGATTGCAGCACATTTAAAGAGGTGGGTGACAAGCTGGTGTTGTCCAGTGGGTGGCTGTAGCACTGCTTTGCCCTCAGATTGCAGACAAACCTGGCTGTCTCATTTTGGTGAAGTATCAATGACCGGACCAACCTTCAGACTAGCCAGAACACTTGCTGAACAGGTAGGAAGGCACAGAATAAAAAGATGTCTCAATGCACGACTGTGGTCCTGCCTTTGTAATTCTGCACCTGTGTCATGGTCAGCAAGCAACTCAGCCCCACTCCCTCCCTCCCTCCCTTTCCCTGGTAAGATGGGGAGAGAATCAGAGGGGTAAAAGTGAGAAATCTCATGGGTTAAGATAAAGAGTGTTTAATAGGTAAAGCAAAAGCTCCACACACTAGCAAAATGAAACAAGGAATTCACTTCTTCCCATGGTCAGGCAGGTGCTCAGCCATCTCCAGAAGAGCAGGGCCCCATCACATGTAACAGTGACTTGGGAAGACAAATGCTCATCACTCTGAATGTCCCTCCCTTCCTCCTTTTCCCCTCAGTTTTATATGCTGAGCACACCACCATATGTGTGGGATATCCCTTTGGTCAGCTGGGGTCAGCTGTCCTGGCTGTGTCCCCTCCCAACTCCTTGTGCACTCCCAGCCCACTCACTGCTGGGGTGGGGTGAGGAGCAGAAAAGGCCTTGGCTCTGTGTAAGCACTGCTTAGCAGTGATAACACATCCCTGTGTTATCAACACTGTTTCCAGCACAAACCAGCTACTGTGAAGAAAATTAACTCTACCCCAGCCAAAACCAGCCCAGTCTGGTCCTGTGAAAGGCCCTAGTTCTCCAGAAGAAGGTACAAGGAGGTCCCCTAACAGCAACATCCTAACCAGACCTTTTCCTTTAGCACCCGAGAGAGACACGACGTGAGAATCAAAAGGCAACATCTTTATCCATCGAGGCTGAAAGTAAAACCAAATGGGTAAGTCACCTGCAAATTCCATGGCAATCTAGTCATTCCAGACAAACACCTGCACAGCATGACAGACAGGTTTTCTTGGCGTCAGGCAATTAAATTTTTATCAAGGTGTAAATCAAAACACCAGCTTACAAATTACCATCATAAAACATTGCTGGAGGTTATGTTTTCCTGTTTCTTTTCTACAGCTTATTAACTCTATCTTTCTGGAATATGCTGGTTTAGATTTGTCACAGAGTAAATCAGAAATGGAATTCAGGTATATGGATGAGTCTTAAAATATTGGAAATAACATTGTGAACATTTGTTAAAGCTGCTTGTGCCTTCATTCATTGGATATTATACTCACTTGAATCCATTTTGTGTTATTATGTAGATGCATGCACAGACATAAAGCTACCAGATGAGTTACAGCTACTTGCTGTGTTTGCCTTCAAAGAAGCTGATGGTCTGTCCTGTCAGCTGGATTGTCCACCTGTAACTGCTACACCCCTCCCTGATTTATACATGTTGGGAAAGTGCCCAAGAAGGAGCTGGGCCATCTGCCAGTTTGCTGACTTCTTACTGTCATAGACTGAGGTCTGTGCAATTAGACTTTGCTGCACTACAGAATTAAGTGTATTACCTTGCCCTTTGAGATAAACAAATTAAATTTGCTGCTGCTGGTGTATGCTATGTTATACTGAGCACTCTGCTTTTTCTTTATTCCAGCCTTACAGCATCAAAACATTCATTGAAGGATGGTGGTAACATACTGTCCACATTAAGTGACATTTTATCATGCAGATCTATTTCCTTTATGTTTTTTCTAGTCAGATGTTTCTGAAATTTCAGTAAGAAATAAGGAAAATATTTTGCATGGCTTTGTCAAATATTTTAATGTAGTTTGGGCAAAGGTCAAGCGTTCCTATGTGGTCAACAAGTGATAAGCAACATTTAATAACATGCCATTTAAAATGTGTTAGTTAAAAGAAATCTAAAAGTGCTGCTTTTCCAAAGGTTCATGCAGTAATATGCTGAATTCAGAAATAGGTACATTGTGACTTGTGGTAAGAAGAGGCCTCAGTGCTGAAGTAAAGGAAAAAGGGATGAGGTGCCTATGGAGAAGAGGAGGTATAAATCTTGCAGAAACAGCAAGCAATTCAACTCACCTTGCACAGGGTATTAATGCTGACCCTCATTGCTGGTCTTCTGGTCTTGGCTTCCCTGAAATTAAGACCAGGGATCCATGTCTCCAGTGTGCCAGGAATATTGGTTATCAGCCCCTTCAGAGATGTCTTGTGGAACAGCTGGGTCTCCTTCCCACCTGCCCAGAGCCTGCTTATGGATGCTGCAGCATGTGGAAAGGATCCTCCACTCCGGCTCTGCATTTTCAGCCCAGACGTAAAGCAGCACATTGGACAAGATGCACTCCAGCGTCTCATTCGCTGTTCACACTGTGATTTAGGATTAACAGCTGTTAGGACAGAAGGAGAATATGTACAGGGTTTTGTTTGTTGCAAGGGCGTTTAAAAACAGACCTTGTAAATCCTCAAAGAAGTCGGCAGGGTGCAACTGCATCGCACTGTGCTCTGCGTAAGACGGAACTCTGGCCAGCCACAGTTAGAGCATGATGATCACAGGGAATGGGGCCAGAGAAGGGGGAGATTTAATACAAGTTAAATGTACTTTCATGGAACATTTCGGCTGGTTCTGTGTTGCAGTAAAAGCTTTACTGGTGTCAATAAGAAAATTCCCATTTATTTTATTGCTATGAGACAATCCTCCCTCCTTGGCCTCCACTAAAAAAGAAAAAAAGTAGGTTCTGGAAAAAAACACTGAATGTCATTAATTCCAATTCTGGAAGTAGATTGTTGAAAAAGCATCATGGCTTGTGAATGCAAACACTATATAAAAGCACAGGCTGGAATAAAGAAAGAGCAGAGTGCCCACTGTAACATATACTTACAGTTGAGCAAGATACATGGGATGTGCCTGACAGCACCATGTTTTGGTAAGGAATGGTTGTACTTCCCTATGTCCTGCACCTCTCCAAGATCTTATCTGAGTATGGTCTGACTCATTCATGCATTTTCCTATTTGTGGCACCGTGCATAAAACATGGTTTTGTTTATTTCAATACAATGGACCATATATGGGCCATATTGGAAAAACGGTCATTTCGCAGTGGTGTGGAAAAAGATAAGATCCTAAATACAGGCTGGGGGCAACCTGAAACCCCAAATGGGAGAGAGAACATAATCATGCACAGATACAACTGTGCAAAATGAAAACAAACTGTGCCTGAAACGCAAAGACCAATGGGCTGAGCAGCTCACAAGTGTCTCCAGGAGCAGAGATCCAAGGCATGTGGAGTTAGGACCTGTTGGAATCTGTGAGGGAACACTTCTGGTTTTTTGCTAAGGTTTTCCCAACTGATGGAATAACGTCCAGTGTTTCACTATTCATTCAGGACTACACCTGGGCCAGGCTTGCCCAGAATACAATAGGTGACAGACTGAATCAAGATGTGTTTACCTCCTCAAAAGTCAAGATGAGGATTCTCAGAAGTTCCCATATGCTTTGTGTCAGGCCCTGCCCTGCAAGTTCACAGGTTCACTTGTAAACACAGGATTTCGTGAAATCATCCGCATTACAAAATGATGCTACAGGATTTCATTTTGCATGTGGGCCTTGTGCTTTTTGGTTTTTTACAAACATGTAATTTAATTTGAATATTGCCTCAGTTTTTGTCTTACAGAAGGGGCATGGGTTTATAACACTGAATGCCTATTATCCTATTCTTCCTATTTGCTCTTAGGACGAAGCAGTTACCCTTCCTATAGTAGCAGGCAGTGGTTGGATTAACAAGTAAGCAAAGATGAGTACAGCATCAACAGGAAATAGAAACTGCTATTAAGCACAATAATGCCAAAGGCTGGGTCACATGAACTGACTTCTGTATGATTTCTACCTTGAGAAATTTCTGCTGATTTCTGCCTTCAAAACCACAAATGCAAAGTAGCAACTACTTTCAAAGAACACTCTTTTCCTGTGTCAGTTCTAGAAAAGCCTTTCTCATGAGAGTTAGAGAAAGAAAAGCACGGCCAAACAAGAAGCTATTCCTACAGAGCAGGCTTACCTAAAGAAATACAGGTATCAGAATCTCTTGAAGGATGCTTCTCAGCAATTACCTTGCTTTAGCACTCTATTTTCCAAGTTGTCCCAAAAAGGTCACCACAGTCCAGCTCTGAAGGTTAACAGGGATGGGCTATTTCAGACCAACAATGCAATGACTGTCAGAGACCAGGGCAGTGGCAGCCCCTCTTCTTCTCTCTTGAATACTCGCTCCAATTTTTAGCTCAGGCACAGAAGACAGAAAAGCTGCCTGTCTCTCAAAGCAATATCCTGATTAATTAATTCAGGAGTCTATTGGTAAGACTTGGCATTTCCCACCACTCTCAGAAACCCAGACCTCGTAGGTGCAAGAGTAGAACAAAAGAACTCCCCCTACTCAGCGCTGAACATGCTGAGGGTACAGCACTAGGCCTGCCTCCATGACTCTCAACAGTTTCTGAGAGAAGCCTCACATAAAGGCTTTGCAGCAAGGTAGCAAAGGCACACAGTGGGGAGGCATCAGGAGAAAATTATTCTCGTTCCTTTTTACTCTATGGCAGCAGGAACCATCTCTAAACTTCCAGCCAGAAACAATGATAAGTCTGCCCCAGAGACCCCAGCTGAGGCATCTGATCAGGCTCTCACAGGGCTGGGGACAAACATCAGGCAAATGCACTCCATTAGGATCACTGCTAAACACATTTGCCATGAGCAGCATTTGTTTTCCTTAAGATTCTTAGGTCAGTTCTGCTAAAGCTGCCTTAAATCCCAGACGTTCAGAGCAAATAGGGATGGCAATCCAAGTCAGAATACATAACTAAACCCTTGGAGGAGAGCAGAAGATGGTGTTTCTTTATATTAATGACACCTCTCAGATTCTCCACCATTAATGGCTTTATATTCCTATTGATCATAAATATGGAATATGGGATTGAAAGATAAATTATGCGATGCCCCAGACACTTGAAATATAAGACCAAAATAAAAGAATATGGGCTTTGCTCAGTTAAGAGCTGTGCTTGATACCTCTTTTAAAAAGGAATCACAAGTCACTAGCATTTTCTTGGGGTGTGGGAGTGGAGGGTAGATGAATAAGAAATAAAGCCCTCCATTCCCTGGGGCTGCTGGATGAGAGAGCAGTCAATAGTGAGCACACTCAGCTTCTCCACCCCTCAGGACACCTATAGGAGATCACCACCAAGAGGTGGTGTCCTTGCCTGTCTGGAGAAAAGTCTGGCAGGCAGAGAGAGCTTCCCTCTGTGCTCCAGGGCTGTTGGACAGCAAGGAACTGTGCATGACCTGGCAGCATCTTAAACTAGTGCCTTTAATATTGCAAAGCTGATCCGAATCCAGCAGTATACTTATTAGCATGTGTTGATCTCTAAAGAAGAGTGGTTGCTAAGGAAACCACTTAAAAGCCTGCTTTAAAATATTTGCTACATATTCAAAAGCCAGAACAATTTCCTGCTGTCAAATTACAACAGCTCTTCAAAGATCATTAGGAATATTCTTTAATCATTAAGACAGAAACATCCACGTGGTTCTTCTCAGCAGACAGATGACGAAATTCTGATATGGGGTATTATCTTTGTAAAACTGAAGTTACGTCACTGAAACAAAATCAGCTGTGCTACAGCACAGCCATTCCAAGGATCAGATTTTTCAACTACATATTCCTAATACAAAGTTATCATGTCTGACATCCTAATATTTTGAAGTATCACAACTTCTAACTTATACTTCCCTAAAGAGCCATAGAATCATTTGGGCTGAAAAAGTTCAAGGACAAATTCGATTTGCACAGCTAACGTGCTGTAAGTGGAGAATGCCAAAGGCACAACGTGAAGGGCTAGGAACATCCTGTTCTAACTCACTTTTCCTGGCATTTAAGAGGACATATTCTTCACTAGAGGCACAAAAAGCTCAGCAAAAACTTTTTTTTCTGTTTCCAAATAAACTGCTGAATCCTCAAAAGCCATTTAAAGTGTCAGGATAAACAATTCAATGACATTCTTTCACTTTCAGAAAACACAATGTATTTTAATGGTATGTTAGTTAACTTCCCTCGCAGTAGCCCTCATAGTGCTGTGCTTTTTATTTGTAGCTGGAGTGGTGTTTAAAACACAACAGTGTTTTGGCTGCTGCTGAGCAGTGCTGGCACTGCTCGCTGAGGAGGGCGAGTGACAGAGTGGCTTTGTGGGTGAGGTCAACCCAGCCAAGGTCAACCCACTACTCCTGAGATCATCAAGGACAGAAACCTGACTTTAGTTTTAATGATAACAGCCAATCCTCTTGGTCTGATCCTCCCAGAAAATATACAGTGTTTAGGTATAGGAATTTATTTTCCGTCTTCACCAGGACACAAACAAGCCATGTCATCCGAGGAGTCCTCTGGGAACAGATGTACTTTTGCCTCCCGTCTTTCCTAGGAATCAGAACTGGTTTAGAGCCAGCAGTTTGTTCTGGGTACTCCTGTGCTTGTGCTCAAGTTACACCATCATCCTTTTGTTTCAGAACGTCTTCTGTCTCTGTGTAAGTCACGAGTCCCAAATGAGACAGAAACTTATTGAGTAAGATAACCAGAGGGAAAAAAGATTACCATGTCCTCAAGTCTAAGCACAGAAGGGATGTCACATCACCTGTAAAAGTACTGAGCATGAATTAGAGAATTAGGCATTGCACATCATTTGAACAGTGCCAAAACCAATAGGGTTTTGCTTTTCTATTTCTTGTTTCTAATCAGAACACCTACCAGCTTGCTTAGTCATGTTTCAATGTTAACACTATGATTATTTATGCAAGGACAGTACCCAGCAAGAGTGCCAAAAAGCACATTTCCCAGGAAGAAGAAAGCTGCTTTTCACCCACACCCTGAGGACTGTGTGCAGTGTCTGTCAGCAAGGAGAAGCATGGCTGCTCCATCAAAGCTGGGATAAGGGTGACAGCGAAGTGGACAGGGACCTCACTGATAGCTCCATGGCACCTGACAGGGAGAGCCAGGCCAGCTGGTGACAGCAACAGGTAGAGCCTGCAGAGTTTCTCAGCACACAACAGCATCCATGCACACCTTTCCCACAGTAGCTCACCTGACTTTGTAGGGCTGCCTCTGAAAAGTGCTGTGAGAAATCACAGCTGCTGCCAGTTATTTGAAAGTCAATGTTAAGACAGTAGCTACTTCCCTTCACCGCAGCCACAGGATGTTTTCTGGTCTCTTCTGATCTGCTACAGAGACAATTAGCTAGAAATGTGCCATAAGGCAAAATTCTTCACTTAGGAGGACAGAAAGTTGTAAAAGTTCTCCCACTTGTAATGCCAGGCATTGCAGAGCACATGCTGATAAGAAGAGCACAGTGCTCAGACCCAGTTTGCTCTGCATTTATAGCTTGATCTGAGATCTAATACATGGAGATTAAAATGGACATTTGTTTTCCACCCACCCAAGAATCCCAGATGCTGTGTTCAGTTACAATGCTAGGCAGGACAGCTTGCTAGCACATGGGCAAACAACCTGCCCCGACCCACAGTAGTTTGGTTTGTTTTCCAGTCACTCAAGCTAGTTGATTAAGGTTTTAGAATCTGGTGATGGAAGCACACAGGAAAGAAGGATGAGCGAAAAAGGGAAGAGAGGTAGCAGGACAGAAATAATCACAGAAAAATATGTGCAAATCATGAAGGGAAAGGAGAACAAAATAAAGTAGAATAGGTGGCAGGGGAAGGAAAGGTCAGGAACATGACGAAGAAGCAAAACCAGAGGCAGGAAGACAGAAAAGAACAAGGGAGATAATCTTTCAGGAGCAGAAATTCCTTATGAGGAGAGCTGGAATCTAGAAAACTTAACTCATCCTTTAGGAAAAAAAAAAAGCAAGGAGAAAGTCCAAATTAACTGTTTGCAGTCAAAAACAAATGTTGCACAGTACAAATTCCTGCCCTTCTGGTTTCTGACTTTTTTTGCCTCCTGTCCTCTGAGTGCTGCTAGAGGCCCCCCAGAGTACCAAGTGCTGCACCGTAGCCCATCCCCTTGCCCCATGCCCCAACCTGTTCCTCTGCATATTCTTGCTGTTGTGCCCTGGCCTTGTCTTCAAGCCTGCTGCCTTCTCAGAAAGCTATTCTTCTGCTCGCTGCCTCCTTTCTCCAGCCACCTCAAACTCCATGCTGCTGCAACTTCAGCTGCCTCTCACTTGCCTTCCAAAACCCTGTAAATATAAGGGTAGTTCCACTGCACATAAAGGCTCAGCATGAACATTTATAATTTCCACGCTGGCCTTTCACTGCAAACTATATGGGGCAGAAATTGTCTCCCAGCACTTGTGCCTCCATATCATATATGACCCTGACACTTCTTGGAAGCCCCTGCTGATGCCACTCTGTAAATACCAATACCTGTTTTACAGGTAATGTGCTGGTTTTGTTCTTAATAAATCACTGTGCTAGTCTGGATACACTTCAGCCTGGGTCATTTCTGCTCAGGAGATCTGCTGCTCTTTGTCCAATGCCAGGAGAGCTGGTTTCCATGGAGCACTGTTTTTCATCCGTCTCACCAGAGAAAAATGGGAACCAGGGAAAAACAACCTGCAGTGACAGATGACAGTGTTGCCATCCCCAAAAGATTTGCAAGGTCAAATTTCATTCTAAATGCTGAGTGAGACATCACACAACTGGAAACCAGAACAATCTGGTAGGTGCTCCCTGCTTACCTAAACTCTTCATCTACAAGTAGACTTGTACACTGAGAGCTCTGAGGGTTTTTATTGCTGCTTCTCTGGCCAGAAGTTGATGGGTTTTGCAGTCAAGGCACATCGTGCAGTAGGCAATAGGACTGCTTAGCTGTCCCCTGCTGAATACAGAAGGGAGACAGCTGACATCAAGCTTCTTTCAGAACACAGCAAAGGTGCATTGCAGTGGATGCTAATATTAGTGGCAGCTTGGACAGGTTAAGGATTGCCACCTAATAACAGCACTCAATACAGATACAGAGGTCCAAGTTCTTAAGAATCTGTAGCCATAGTCAGGAAACCAAAGAACTTGGTTTCCTGAAATATTGGTGTCTTTGTGAAGTCCCTAGTTGGGAAATTGAAATTGTCAGTTTGTAAACCTATTTGTCCAGTATCATGTCTTAAAGGGCTTTTTGCACAGTCATGTTAATCACAAAGAAAAGTTAGAGGAGATAATGCTCTTGAAGTAAAAACAAACAAACCAAAACCCTTGCTTCAACAAAACAAAAGCCTTCTTACCTCACGAATATCTGGGATAAACTTGACAGCTCCTTAAGCTCCTATGGAAACTGCACTGGCTCTCTTTTTTCTCTTCAGGTGTCTGTTTTCAAGTACCCTGGTCCCCAGCAGACAGTACAGCGTGGAAGGGACAGCGTGTTTCAAAGGCTTTTGTAATAAGAGCCATTTGATTTGCCAAATTGCGTCAAAGGTCAAAGACTGTGTCAGTAGGAGCACAGCACAAAGTAAATGATCTGTTTATGGTCCCACTTGGACACGGGTCACTTAAGAAGGCAGCAGGGCTTTTCCCGTAGAAGCGGCCACCTCTGAGCAGCGCACGCAAGAGTGTTTTGAATCTATAGATGTATTTTTCCGTAAAGACGTCACCGCTGTTTCCCCAGGCCTCTTGAGCAGCCCAGGGGCAGCAGCTGCAGGCACAGCTCGGCTGTCCCGCAATGGAGCTTCCACCTGCCGACAGCTAAAGGAGGCCGTAGCCAGGTGGGGGTCGGCCTCTTCTCCCAGGACGAGAGGACACGGTCTTAAGCTGCGCCAGGGGAGGTTTAGGTTGGACATTAGGAAGAATTTCTTCACAGGAAGGGTGAGGAGACATTGGAATGGGCTGCCCAGGGAGGTGGTGGAGTCACCACCCTCGGAGGTGTTTAGGGAAAGACTGGACGTGGCACTTGGTGCCATGGTCTGGTTGACACGGTGGTGTGAGGTGATAATCTGGACTTGATCTCAGAGGTCTTTTCCAACCTAATTGACTCCGTGATTCTGTGCGACCGGGCGCTGCGCAGGCACACACGCCACCAGCCCGACGCCTCCGCTCGGCAAGGCCCGTTCGCGCCGCCTCCCCCCGCGCAGCCCTCCCGCCTGGGGAGGCCGGAGCCCCCGCTGAGGGGCGGGCGGGGGCGGTGGAGGAGGCTCGGCCGCCGGCCGCCGCCGCTGGGCCGATTGGCGGGCGCGTTGGGCGGGCGGGCCGGGGCGCAGCCGGCGGCGGCAGCGGGGGCAGCGCTCGCAGCCTCGGACGGGGAAGGCGCCGCTCTCGTCTCGCTGGGCGCTGCCGCCGGTGCCCGGGCGCGGAGAGGTAAGAAGCCGCGCTCCCCGGGCCGGGCCGGGCTGAGCGAGGGAGGGCGCCGCGGGGAGCAGGGCGGGATCCGCGGCGCGGAAGGCTCTTCCCTGCGGGCTGCTGGGCGGGAAGGCCGCGGCAGGGCCGCCGCTGTTCCCGGGGCTGCACGGCACGGAGAGGGCTGGAATGGAGGATCGGGGCTGGGAAATGGCAGGAAGGCGGGGGCTTGAACGGCGCTGCGCGACGAGCCGCGCAGCTTTTGTCGCGATGCACAGAATAAACCCGGTTCTGTGATTAGTAAACTAGTCATTCGTGATTAGTATATTGCAGCGGAGTCGTCTTTAAATTGGTGCTGTATGTGTGCAGTTCGCTGTCGAGGCAGGGGGGGGGCGAGATTAGGTTGTCACCGATTTAAAAAAAAAAACAAAAAAACCCAACAAACCAACCCTCTGTTTTAAGTCGAGCTTAACATAACAGTTAACGTACCCTTCGGTCCTGCCTGCATCTGTGGGGTTGGGAAGGCACGCGAGGCAAGTGCACTTGGAGTTGTACATTCCTTTTCACATACGTCGGATCCCCCGGGGCAGCAGGCATGCCTTCGTTTTCTTCCGGGCTTCCTTTTTTTTCCCCCCCCTTTTCTTCTGGCAGCCTGGAAAATTTCCATCTGCCGAGCAGCAGCCAGCCTGTAAAAAGGGGCACCACGCATGTCGAACTACAGTTTTAATCGCTCACTGCCTTAGGCATTCTATTTCCCTTCCTGCCTGCAGGAACTGTTTCTCTGAGTTAAATGCGTACAGGTGAACAAGATCAGATGGAGAGCCTCGAAGCAGATTTCCATCTAGAACTGTCCATCTTGCACTTTGGCTTTAGCAGCAGTGCCCCCCTCCCTTTTCAATACCTCAGTTCGTGATTGCAGACATACCAGCTAGCAAAGCACAGACTGTTGTATGTCCAGCTAAAAGCAACACTGTTTACATAAAAGAAACTGAAGAGCAGGTTCCTGCTCCTGACTTGCAGAGACGCTTGAAAACCAAAACTGTCGTCAGCATTTATTTTTGGCTGGAATAAGAGGCCTTCTGAGAGTTGAATTTGATAGGGAACAAATGCATTAATTAGCTTGTGAATTTGGACTGATCCTCTGATTCATGCTGTGAATACAGGGGAATCTAAATATAAGTAGCATTTCATGTTCTCTTCTCAAACTGACAGAAGTGAAAACGAGTGTGGGTTTTGTTAATTGGCAGGCTTTCAATTTGCTCGTGCTGCGTTTCACAAAAGGAAGTTAATGTATTGTTGTTACGATTCAAGGATAACAGGAAAGAAAAAGCAGTTTTTAAATACCTGTAAGTAGACTGAAATAAGGGTGTGATATTGCCATCACCTGCAGTAAAATGGAAAATCTTAAAATTCCAAGTGGTTCCACATTTAACTGATGCAACAACAGTGATTTCCAGAACATTCAGCCTTTTATCAAATCGGGAGTTAACTTTTAAGTGCTAAGTAAAGAAACCTTTCCTCTTTCCATGCAGAAATTGCATGAAAGGTAAACCAAGAGCATCTAAAGCAACATGCTTTGAGCTGTGAACAAGTTTAATGAATACCTCCCAAAAGCTGTGTCAGTGCCATTTTCTACTAAAGCAACCACTTACTAAGTTACCTTTGACTGCATGTTTTTTACAAGCACACGGATTTTATGAAGCTATTTAAAAACACAGTTTAAAAAAATATTTCGGATCTACAGATACACTTGTGACAGGCTTGGGGAAAGTACCAGAGCCAGGCATGCCAGCCCAGAATTACAATGTCTCTGGGGTACATGTGTTGCTCTTTGCTGCTAGATTATATCAGACTACTCTGGTGCCTTTTTTTTTTTTTTGCATTCACCATAAGCCTGGATATTTTTAGTTCCTTTATTATGGCATATAATACCTTTCACTCATAATTTTGCTCTCAGCAAACTTTAAGCAATTAAGTCAGAAATCCCTCACTTAAAATTTTGCGTGATTAGTTACAGTGATCTGATGGTCCAGTTCAAATTACTCTGGTGCAACAACATGTAGTTACCACAAACTGCATCCCAGAGTTTCACTGAGTTAGCTATTTCTCTACAAAAGGTCAAAGAAGCCAATCTTCAACATTTTTCAGCATACTAGATGAGTCATCATTAGTGAATTTTTGTCTGTGCTGAGCCAAGGGGAATGTTTTAATTTATCTGGACTGCAAAAGAGATCTGAGAAGCCAGTAGAAGATCTTGCTTGCCTATGTTAGCCAAAGGAATCCATTTCAGGGTTCAGGCCAGACAGAACAGCAAATAGCTACATGGGATTTGTTTGAAGGGGAAGGTTGTGGGTGCAATTATGGATGTCCAAGGATACACTCTTAGTGGTCATTCTTAGCGCAAAAAAAATCACAATTAACTTTGCAGGTTTGTGTTGAAAAGTATTGTTCAAGACCTCCATAAACGTGACAGAACTGAATATCCTATGCAGATGAAAAACCGCTTTAAAATCTAAGCAAATACATTTCTTCCCCCTTTTCCCCGGGGAGCCACAGTGCGGATGTTTGGAAAGCATGTATGATAAGCTCATTTTTCACAACCCATCTCATATTTTCACATACTGATATTTTAGTAAAGTCATTATCACTCTCATTTGCTCCATCATAACCACCCCAACCATTGAAAATTGGGGATGTCATTTGGCAGGTGGCCAGCAGGAATGCCTTACCTTGTTCTGCCTGCAGCACTCGGGTTAAATGTGGGCTGCTGAGTGTAGGATAGTTTGTCAGTGAGTCACGCAGACCGCCCTGGACTTGCTTCCAGGCAGAGCTGTGCTTGGCATGATTAGCAGGCTCCGAGGGTGACGTTGTTTCCTAAATGATGTAACTGAAAATTCCTCTTTCCCGCGCTTCTTGTTTCCCGATCAGTTTCCTCATTATTCTCCAAGACATTCCAGCAGCTGCCGTATCTTTTGCTCCGGATCTTTTTTTCCTGAGAATCTCTGTGAAGACAAGTTATGTCAACAGCTACTTTAATTAATTTGGTACGAAATGGAGGGTATCAAGTAAGAAGGAGAGCCGTGCTCACATCCCGCCTCTTGCAAGACGAGAAACGCCCAACGGGCGCCTGCTACGTCTCCAGCTCTGAGCGCCGTGCTTCCCGCTTTGATCCGGACGGGAGCGGCCGGCCGACCACATGGGACACCTTTGGCATCTGGGACAATCGCATTGATGAGCCTATTCTCCTCCCACCAAGCATAAAGTATGGGAAGCCGATTCCTAAAGTGAGCCTGACCAACGTGGGCTGCGCGAGCCACATCGGGAAGCGCAAGGAGAATGAAGACCGGTTCGATTATTCTCAGCTGACGGAGGATATCCTGTACTTTGCAGTATACGATGGACATGGTGGGGCAGCAGCAGCTGACTTCTGTGATAAGTACATGGAAAAATATATTAAGTAAGTGCACATCAAGGGAATGTGTGTCAAATAAATTTCAGCAGAGATTCCTTCCTTAGGACTGAGGGAGAATCAGAGGGTTTTACCTTGTTAATCTTCCTAGATTATGTAGCCACCTGTCCTAACGGGACAGCAGGAGCATCAGGTGGAACAGACGTGCTATGAACTACTTATTCTGTGTGGTGCCTGCCCTATGGAGCAAGCCCACAAAGACAAGAGAAAAATACAATTGTACTCACCATCCAGGAGATGACTGGGAACACAGGGAGAGTGTGAATTGACTGTTTTCACATAAGGTCACTGTGATTGCTGACCTGCAGTTTGCTTACACACTCTTCTCTCTATCCCATCCCTGGATGTTGGAAGAGGAACTTACATATTTGCAGAATTACAAGATTATGCTTCCATGCAGGTCATTAGTAAAACCATGTTACCTTTTCACTGAAATGCAGCATTATTCAATGTGTGCAAGAAGGAGACAGGAGTATGAAGCAGATTGATCAAAATGTGTATTTCTTGGAGAGAAGTTTAGTTTTTTTGTTTGCTTGTTTGTTTCCAGGGAATTTCTTGCTGAGGAGGAGAACTTGGAGAATGTTTTGAGCAAAGCTTTTCTAGAAATAAACAAAGCCTATGAAAGGCATGCTAATCTCTCTGCTGATGGTAGGTAAAAAGATATTCTACTCATATGGGTGCGGACAATAAAGTATGTCTTATTTGCTCAGTAGTATTGCAGTAAAATGTCCAGAAAAGTGCTTGAAAACAGTTTTACTTAACACAGGATTTAGCTCTGATCACTTAACCGCAAATGAAACAATTATGGTTTACCTCCTTAAAATGAAATAGCTACCCAAAGTCTCAATCAAATTTCCTGTGGGAGTTACAAATCTGAATGTTAGCATAATCATTAGTGAATTTCTCTTAATGTGATTCTGTCAAGGACAGTGTTTGTCAAGGTAGCAAAGAGCAATTTAGATTTGCAAGGACCATAATTTTATTGTGCAAGAAACGTGGAGGGGGGGTTGGTTTTGTTTGGTTTTTTGTGTGTGGGAGAAGTGGTGTTTTTATATGTTTGTTTGTTTGTTTGTTTTGAAGCTGTTATTCCTATGGTTTAAAAGCAGCAGTGTCAAAGTTCCCTTTCTAACTTGGCTGCTGCACCTGAGGAGGAACATAAGCCACAATTAATGCAATAGATACTGCTTCTGCATAAACAGAATCACAGGAGTAGCTGAGTGTGAAAGGGAAAAAAGCAGTGAAGAGGAAAACAAGTTTGGCTGTGGTAAGGCTGTGGTAAAGCTAGCACCAGCCCTTTTAAACTCCATAATCCTGGCTGTTAAAGAAGTTCTTGTGTACATGTCTAGAGACTAAGTACATCTGAAGTTCCAGTTCCAGCAACTGGAGCTTATAGAGAGTAACTTGGGAAGGGAGATAGAGGTGCCTGTCCCAGTTCTGTCACAGGAGTTTTCTTGGCCATAAGTAAAATTTTGAGAGTCAGTTTAGCCAATCTTAAAAAAACCCCAAGAAACAAAAGGCCAATTAAAAAAAAAGACACCAACAAACCACAACAATGAAAAGACCCCAACCACCAAACCCACCTTCCCCACCCCAACCTGTCCCAGTGCTGGTGCAGGCTCTGGAAAAATGACTGAGGTTGTTCCAGAATGGAAACTGTAGAAGTCTTCTCTCCAAGAAAGACTGGAAACCAACAAGTCCTCTAGGGACTGAAGTGATACTGTATTCTCAAGCTGCTTTTCTTAAGCAGGGAATGACTACAATCAAGTAATGGAATGGTTTCCTGCACTTTAGCTGCTAGATGAATCTAGGTAGACTCAAATTATTTCCTGGCAGGACAGGTAGCCTGACTGTTGCAGCACTGTGAGGGATACATACCTTTCCTCTTCCTTGGTACAGGCTAAGGTATCAGGAAAAAATTCTTCAGTCCTGAAATGCAGCCCTTAAAGGTATTAAATCTATAAATTTCCTTTTCCCATTGTATTTCAGTGGTAAAAAAGTCAAGAGTCACTTTTGACCTATGGGGTGAGTTTTAACTGAGCTCATGAGAGACTCATCAGTAGAGCAGACGTGCTTTTTATCCTAGTCTCCTTGCAAGTATGTTTTCTTAAAAGCCCAAATCCAAGACAGCATTTGAATGCTAGTTTATGTGCTTTCCTGGATCAGAACCTCAAATTTTCATTAACATGAAGATCTATTCATCCCCCTCCCTGCCCCCCTGTGAGTAGGACAGCTCTTGGTTTGGCTCATTGCAGTAACCTCTGTTAAGTGTCAGAGTGGCTCCTTGAGGAGAAGGGTTGTTTTTGATATACTGTGAAGAACTGTGTTTGATATACTATTCTGTTATTCTGAAAATGGTTTCCAATTAGAATATTTTGTACCTGAGACTTACAGAACTGGATTAGAGCAATATTTCATAGACAAGTTGTGCAGCAAGCTGAGCATTTTAGAACTGCTTGTAGGATTTTTTTTCATATCATTTAACTAACTGGTGCTGCCTAATGCCAGCAAACTTATGCAATGGTTATCAGGATACTGGACAAGACCTCTTAATTAAAAAAGCTTGAGGTCGAGCAAAATAGAAGGTAAAAGTGTTGTCAGGCATCCACAGGGGCCACACTCTGGCAGGCACTCAGTGTTTCTCAGGTAGGCTGAGCACCTGCAAGCTCTTGAAGGAGCCTGTAGGATCTAAGTGCCCAGTGCTCTTGGCTGAAAATCAAGCTCTAAGGCAAAGAATGGAGTAACAGGGTACGGATTTATGAACGGATTAAACTTGTTGCATATCTGTTGCTAAAATAATTCAATACCATGTTTTGACTGCTTTGTGTGGATATTTTTGTTGTTGCTCATGTTTTGAAAGTTACATAAAATTTCAGTGCTTGGCATGTGTCTGTTAGAAGCCTAATTCCAAACTGTTTCAGTTTGCCAGCAAAATGTCTGATTAATTGTGGCTATTCTAGATGTGACAGTCCAGACAGTTGCTACAATATCTTGAAGATGGTGGCTGGTTGTGTAATGGTGTGTCTGGGATATGGTGGATGCTCCCCAAGACTGACCTCCTTTAGAAACCTGGCCACAGCTGATGAAGTGGGGAATGATAGCTTAGTCTTGTTCCAGTAAATGGCCCTTCCAGGGCTCGTTCCTTTCACTGTGTCTGAAAAAAAAAAAAATAAAAGTGCATGTTGAGGATGTCCAGGTCTTTGCTAACACACAGCCAAATTTGACCTGGGTGTGTACCTGGGTGTTTGAAGGAACCTAAGTCCTGGGACAAATCCCTGTAGCCAAGATTGCATGTTTAAGGCATTGTTTGTATTTTCTATTTAAGGAGTAAAAACCTTACATAATGGCACAAATTTAACAGAACTAGAGATGTGCCTTGTTGGAGCCCCTACCTATGTCTTCAAGAGCATAGCCCTTTGTAGGTCACTTTACAATTATAAAATATTGGAAATTACAGATGGAAAATACATAGCATAATAGTTACTGCAAGCTTTCAATAGTAAAAAAAAAGGTACTGCTACTGTGTTTGGCATGCAATTCACTAGTGCTGTTGGAGGGTTGTGCTGGCCTGCTGGAGACTGTCACTCTGACAGTGATCTGTACCTGTTGCTTCACACAAAGGCATAAGAAACTTGCTGTAGGCATGTCTGGAATAATCTGTCCTCTGCCTAAATCCTGTCTAATCATTAACAGCTTGGAGATACGCCTGAGCCCTGGAGCTTGGTGTTTGGTATCTCTTCAAAAATGCATTTTCATTCCCTTCCACGCCTTTAAATATATCCAGTCACTTTCAAGGCACAGCTAAACTTAGGTATAGGGCACAGCAAAGGAAGCTCACATCCAACCAATGTCATTATCCATGGGACAACTGCCTCAGATGGGCAGAATTTTTGGATATTTTTGACCAGCCATAAAAACCGAAATGTAAAGGCTGAATAGCTTTACTCAGCAAGGACTGCAATAAGAATGTGAATTGTGTGCTTGAGGGAACTGGAGAAATGTAAGATAAACCCTCTCCTGGCTCAGTGCAGTCACACAAGGTATTGTTACTGATCCTGTTCACTGTGAGCCACTGCTCAGAGAAAACTACAGGTGGTCTGTCCATCGACCTCCACGGTCAGTGCATCCAGCTCTAACCACAGTGACCACTCACTTCTGGAATAGCCATCTCATTAAAACATAGCCAGGTATAAACTGGTGTATCTATGCTTGAAAGGCACCTCTTGAACATTTTTATGCTGAGCAAACAGCAAAAGTTATTTAAAAATAATTAAATTTTAAAAGTAGTGGGGTTTGGGTTCGTTGTTTTTTTTCAAGTTGCCATTCAAAAAATGATTTTTTATTTCTTTACATATGTTAACCTGCAACACTGAGGAAAAGAGAGAGCTGCAGAAACTGTACTTAAGTATCTCCTAAATCCATCAACGTTGCAAAGGAAGCCTTTTAATCCAAGGACCCTGATTATAACCTAATCAAGTTAGAAGCTACTAATTACAATATTAAAGGGGTGTTAATTTTGCATATTTCCCATGGGTCAGAACAATTCACAATTCAGTGCCTTTAAGATGACCCCATTTCAGTTGGTTGGCACTGGTTTGGACTCCCCATTTTGGTGTTATATATATATATATATATAAATAAATTGAGCAAACAGATTTGGCCATATTCTGTACTAAAGATGTTCTTCAAAGTGGCCACTCTTGCCATATATGAGGCAGCTGGCCCTCTAGCATTGATAAAATTCTTTGGTTAATTTGTTGGTTGATTATTTATCTCCACAGGGGGAAAAAAATGTAGATTTTATTTTGGCTGAATTTAAGGTGGTTTTGTCACACAGTTATAGAAAGAGGGTGAGAACAGTGGCAATTCCCCAGAAACACTGCGGCTGATTTATCTGTGGCCAGAGGTGCACGTGCAAGCCTGAAGTGCTTCCCATCTGACCTGCACAGACAGTGCAGGCAAACCTGAGAGTGATACTTCCCCTGTTCTGCAGCCCTTACTCTTTCATCTCCAGTGTTGCAGGTTTATTTTGTTTGAACAAAGTCCCTGGGTGAATTTCCTATTTGCCTCTGTGTGCGTGTTATTTGTGGCAGACACTGTACCTGGTCAGCAGCTCTAGAACTGGAGGCCCTGGACATGTGCTGGGCTTCAGTGGAAAGAGAGATCTGCTTAATTTTGTCCCAGGTGAAGGAGTCCAGCTCCTGGACTACTGGAAGGTTCCCACATCCTCTTTGTCACATTAGTTGAGATGACTTGCAGTAAAAGTTGTCCAGTGAGTGTTAAGAACCTATTGAAAGATCTTAGTTTTATAGTGATATTGTTAGGAAAACAAAATAAACTCTTTAATTGTTAAAAGCCAATACATATGCTGATGCAACACATTTTGTATTGTTAAATAAACTAGCAGCAGTTGTCGTAAAGCATTAGAAATGTTTTCCCATCATCATTCCTGTGGGTTGGAGTTGTGCTAGAAATCACATAATGCTGCATCCATGTTCTTGCATCCCTACCCAGATCATGAACTGGTTCCAAGAAGAGATCATGAGCAGCATTTGTGTTTTTTCTAGAAGTGCTATTTAACTAATAAACTATCAAGTCACTATGTCCATTATTACCACAATTCTGGAAAATATCTTGACTTGTTCTTTAATACCATTGCTTGATTTTGTGATAGCAGCTCTTTTCTTTGCGTGTTTGCACTCAAAAGGTGCAGATTCACCCAAATGTTCTCAGTCTTCTATGAATTAAAGGCTACGGATCTTAACTTTTACAGAAATATCTTGTGTTTCTCAGCATAGTCCCAAAACCACAGAATGAAATGGGAAAGTAGCAGCAATTCTGCATTAATTTTAATGTCTAAGTAAAATGTATTTTCTGTAAAAAAAAAAAAAGAAGGTAGTTTTATGTAGGTTCTTTATTTCACTTCTTTTAACTGTTGGCTAAAACAGGTATTTTACTGGCTCCACTTAAATTCCTAATCACAGTGGTACTTGTTAGCATCTCACTTTCGTAGTGTGCCTCAAAGTGAGGCTGCACCAGACTAGTCCTTGCTTCAAATTAGAAACAAGATGTCAGTGTTTGCCTGAGCAGCCCAAAGCTGCCAGCACCTAGTTTGGAATATCACAGCCTGCATGGCAGCCGTGACATAGTCCACGGTTTGACTTGGCCAATGTTCATGATGGACGTGCTGGTTCAGTGTACAGCTAAACCAAGTCCCTGCTGCAGTAATAATACCTGTTTTAAATAATAACACAAGCTTAGTTAACACTTTTGTGAGGGTGTTTTTCCTTTTGATCCATCAACTCGCTGATTTCACTGCACAACAAGGCTCAATGCACCTTTCAGGGCTTTGTGCACTTCAGTTTACTCCCAGCTCTGTTTTACTTACAGGGTGTTGAGGCCTCATAGGGTTGGGAAAAGAGGTTGTCAAGACCCCAGAGCAGTTGCATTCCTGTTGCTGTTTGCTGGCAGCTGGTTAGAGATGGGGCTGGCTGGCATTCCTTGGGATCAAACATGCAGTCCTGTCTCAGATCTGTCTCCATTCCCTGGAGTCAGGCCTGCAGGGCCAGATAGTTGTAGCTGAGCTCTGCAGAAGCAGTGATAGAAAGATATTTAACTGTTAGTGACATGAAAACAGGAATATAACTGGGGATTTACATTCCTAAGTAAGCCCAAAACTCACCTCGAATTGGCTTGCTTTGAAAAACTGGAACAACTGGAAAAGCCCAGAATGCAGGTGACCCACAGAGGGCCTTTCAAGGGGATTTGGCTGTGAATGCAAATAGCTTGTCCTGGCCAGACATTTTACTGTAATAGCTCAAGTCAGCAGGAGTAGCTGTTTTCCAGGCAACTCTCGCTGGGTTACCTTTGCAGAATTTGCAGGAAGGGAAGGTACTAACTGTAAAATGGGACTACTCCTTTCAAAAAAGCAAAGAAAAAAAGGAAAGCTTTTTCTTCACTGCAGATAAAACTACAGATCTTTTCTAAAATATGCAGACTCACATTTCTTCTTTTCGAGCACTTCTATTTATTCCTGAGCATTGTAGAAATCTAAATGAAAAGCCCTTAAATTTACTTGCCCAAGTTAATCCAAGGTCCCTGAGTGCAGTCAGCCAGCTCAGCTCACTGTAGGAGAAGGAGCACAGCACCCAGGCCACTGTTTTGCCCTCTAGGCAGTCAGTCTACACCCTGTAAATGATCCCAGCAGTGCCCTGGGGCAGGTTGTCTGGGCAGCCACTGCCACCTGACTGCATCAGTTTGCAGGCACGAGGCAAGGCAGAATCCCAGAATCCAGCTTCACCTTTTCACCTCCAGCAAATTGGCAGGATCTGAAGGGAGTAGCGTTTCCCCCCTGAAAAAGATCTGTGGCCTGTTGGCTGAACCCTTCTTCCCTTGGCAAGGCTGGGAGAAGCAGAGAGGGAGTGTAACAGCTCTGACAGCAATGGGAGGGTGCCACAGACTGGGAAAGGAGGGATCTGTTGCTTTTCCTCTGGTGACCTACATGGAGCTACAATTACTATTACTCAGTCGCCTGCTTCACCACTTAACAGAAGGGAAGAGCCATCACCTTTATGGTGAGCTACCTGTGCAGTCACTGTGCCCAGGGATAAGGACAATATCAATGTAACTCAAGCTGAGCTAGTGGGACAGAAAAAACTGTTTGCTACAGGCTGAAAGGATGCCCATGTAACTTGCAGTGCTTTTATTCCACTTGCCCTGTTTGCAAGGAGCCATGTTGGTGCACAGAAATACTTATCCTTTCCACTTCCTCTCTCTTTCCCCAGTCCTACATGCATGCATGTTTGCTCTTGTTTTTTTGTTTAATGTGTAGATTTAGTTTAAACTTAGAAGCAATTACTTACTGGTTATGTAGAGCACATGTTGTCTTCATTTTACCAGTTGAAACTGTTTCTGCTATAAACAGTTCCACGCTTTGAGGCAGTGCTAAAACTTCTCTTTCATCTGACATTTATAGCAACTCTGCTGAACTCTGGGACCACTGCAACAGTGGCTCTGCTCCGGGATGGCATTGAGCTGGTGGTGGCAAGTGTGGGAGACAGTCGTGCTCTGCTGTGCCGAAAGGGAAAGGCCATGAAACTCACCATTGACCATACTCCAGAAAGAAAGGAGGAGAAGGAAAGGTACCTGCTGGCTGATGATGGGGCTTCCCAGAGCACAGCCTCCAGTCAGGATGAGCTTGTGTTCTGCTGCTGGGTTGGGCCAGAAGAAAGTAGAGAGTTGAACATAGTGCTCTGAGGCCACCTCTGAGCTGGCAGTAAACAGCACAGCTCCAGTTAACTCACTGGGTTCCATTTAGAGGACTGTGGATGTGGAAAGCCCTCCACGAGCATAAACTGTCTCAGCAGTAAGATCAGCATAACTAAGATTCAGTACAGAGCCATGACTACATTGTTCAGACTTGTCCAAGACTGCCAAGTTAGAACCAAGACCTGAAGAAATGCACTGTGATTCCCAGGTCAGGACTCATCCCACCAAGACACATCCCTTCCATGGAACCTTCTAACAGCTAAAGCCAACCCTCAGTCTCCCAGCTTAGACGCTCCATACCTCATTCCCCATTGTAGCTAGGGACAGAAATTGTGATAGAGAGGGGGGTAATGGTGTGAAGCACTAACTCGTGTTCACTTCTCCTTTTGTGCCTCTGGACAGGATTAAGAAGTGCGGTGGCTTCGTTTCCTGGAACAGTCTGGGACGACCTCACGTGAATGGTAGACTTGCAATGACGCGGAGCATAGGAGATTTGGATCTTAAAAACAGTGGTGTGATAGCCCAGCCAGAAACAAAAAGGGTTCAGGTAAAAGAAGGTCTGGTTGGCAGGGACAGCAACATTCGGACTAAGGGGCATCATAGGTATTTGATGCAGGTGGCAGCACCCACACGACATGAGCCAAGGTGAAGCCTGATGGCCACGTTGTTTTTTACTGAAGTAACCAGAGAGCAATTCTAATTAAGTTGTTTCAGATTAACACTAAAAGGACAGAAAAGAATCTGGTACTAGATTCAACCAGATCAACTTCTAAAACCCATTTCTCACAGAAAAATACATGATAAGGGAAGAAAGATAACATATAATATCTATTAATGAAATAATTAGTCTGTTTGGGTCTTGTGGTCAAATGAATAACTTTGAGGTGAACGCTGGTATAGAACCATCACTGAGAACCAGGTGGGATATGGATGGGCCACCATCAAAAAAAGTAGAATAGGTAAAGGTTTGCACAGTTGAGAGGAAAGGGGGAGGAGGAAAGGGCAGCTGGACGCATTTTACCATAGCTCTGTAGTTGTGTGGAATACAAATTAACCACCCAGAAGGTATTCAGCACAGTTGCCTTCGCTTTGGCAGGAAGGCTCTCCTTTCAGCTCACATTCTGTTTGTTAATTTTTTCCAATGCACCTCCCAGGGCCCCAGGAATTTACATTCAACTGGCCCTAATAAAAATGCCACCCACTAGGCCTGAGGGGTTTAGGGAGGTGACTGCAGTGCTATGATGTCTCCCTTGAAATCCTGGCTTTCAGAAAGAATTTTGCTTACTGGATAATGTATCTGGTCTTTTGTAATAGATCTGGTCTTTTGGCTTCCTAGAACTGGAAGCACCTTAAGACACTCTCCTCCAGTACAGGGAACACAGTCTGTGTGACCCATGGATGTACCTGAGGATTCAAGGTGCAGCCTTTGGCTAGCCAAGAATTGAGGTTCCAGTTAGTCCTTGCACAGAAAGCAGGAGAGCAGGCAGTACCCCTGGAAAAAGTGCTTTGCAACAGAGTGTAACAACATGAAGGCAGTTAATCTGCCTTGCAGCACTCACCCCTTTGTTGTGCATTCTGTGTGCCTTTATTGCAGTTGCATCACGCACACGACAGCTTTCTGGTCCTTACCACAGATGGGATTAACTTCATAGTGAACAGCCAGGAGATCTGCGACTCCATAAGCCAGTGCCATGATCCTGCTGAAGCTGCCCACGTTGTTACTGAGCAGGTAATGCCAGGGCTTCTCTGGGCACCATGTGCTTGTTGGGTTTTTTCGGTTTGTTTTGGTTTAAAAAAACCCCAAGCATACAACCATACATCCAAGTGAATTGGACTTTTTTCCTTACCCTGGGTCTCGCCACCTCCTTGCCAGGCATCAGTTCAATTAACTTGCTTAGCTCACAGTTCACTGTAACTGCAGCTTGTTCCTGTGCTGAACATGTCATCGGCAAAGACAGAAATGGCCAGCGTCTCACCACGGTTCTGGATGGTGGCATATCCTGTCGAAAATTCTGGAGCATCAGGGCTGACACTGTGTTTCTCCTTTCAGGCAGTGCAGTTTGGCACTGAAGACAACTGCACGGTTGTCATAGTGCCCTTTGGAGCTTGGGGCAAGTACAAGAACGGCGAGGTCAGCTTCTCCTTCAGCCGCAGCTTCGCTTCCAGCGGGAGGTGGGCCTGAAGATCTGCCACAGCCATCTTTCCCTGCCATCATCTGGACACAGGAGAACATGTCCATCTGTTCACAGGCTGACTCAGTGTCTTGTCCATCTCTTCTGTACCCAGTGTTTAGAAGGTGCCACTGCTCCCTTGGTGCGTAACGCCCCGTTGTTGCTTACGGCTGACTCTGTTCTGCTGCCTGCCTTTATTCCAGTTGGCACTGAGGCAGCCGTTTGGGATTGTAGTCCCAGCAGCTCCGCACATCACTTTGTTCACATAGACGAGGCTCTGGGCTTTCACCTGAGGCTGGAGGGGTTGCACAGTTGTTCCATACCTACCTGTATTCCCCAGGACCCTTAGTGACGTGGCAGCTCTAAGTCTGAGCCACATGCTGGCTCCCTTGTACGTTAATACGTGGGGGAACAAACGCACAATGTTGTTGGGTAGACAGAAAGAGGGCTTGTTGTCTTCCTCTGCTGCAGCCACCCAAAATTCCCCTGTGCTTCAGGAGAAGTGGGTGAAAAATAAGGCAGAAGTTTCAGAAGTGTTTAGGTTCTGATGCCAGTGGCATTCAGTGTAGCTGTACAACTTCTGAGACAGTGCTGCTTTGCAGGGCTTTATGCCATCATCTGTGATCCTCTAGCTCCAAGGAGACAGATTAGGCTGGAGCCACGTGCTGTTGGACAGATGGGAACCTTTCTCCATTGGGTCCAAAGCCTGTACAGTCTCTGTGGACCATGCAGCAGTCCCCTGCCCTGTCTTATTTTTGCTGTGTCAGTGCTTCACAGCAGGGAAAAAGACGCACAGTTTTGATACCCAGAGACTCTCATCAACTTGAATTTCTTTTCTTTTTTTTTTTTAAATAAAGAAAATAAGCTAATTTCAAAGAGTTTACTCTTCAAGATTTGATGTGTAAGACAGTTTATTTCTTCATAAATACACGAAGATTTTTGTGCCCTCTGCTGAAGTTGTCTGAGTAAGCTGTGATCTCCCTTGTCTCTTTATGGTATATAGGGAGATGTAAAATGTCCCAAGCAGGCTAGAGAAAGGAGAGAGCGTAACTTAAGGTAATTTTTGTAAGTTTTGGGTATTGTTTCTAGGAGGTGTCAGATATTCAGACACTACAAGATAGTTTTATACTTGAAGGAAGTGTTTCCACTTCTCTTGTTGGGGGGAGTCTGTGTCCAGCGAGGCATGGGGGGACCAGAGCTCTGAGCCAGCTCATTTCGCTGCTGTGACATGGACTGCAGGTGACATGTTGGCAGCAGGTGAAGATCTGTCCCAGCATGTCTTGTTGTCTTGTTCAGACCACCTCCTTCCTTCTTTTCACATCAGGTGTGCAGGTCCTGTGGCCTCCAGGTCACCCTGTTGCAATAAAATATGGGCAGAGAAAAATTGGTATTTTCTCAGGCTTGCTGCAGTATTTCTCATTCTACAGATGTTTCCATCTGCACAATTGTAAAATCAAAAGAGGCAAAAGATATTAAGTCACCTTGCAAAAAAAATTTCTGAGGTGCCTGCCCTGATCTTCATTTTACAGCGTGAAGCACTTATCTTCATTACTTTTATCCCTTTCCTTTTAGTCCAGGGTTACTTAGTCACATAGGCAGTCATTCCACACATTTTTCCTTGCCTCTGGCTGAAGACCTTGCAGCACCCAGCAGAGCACCGTGTTGTACTGACATCATTAGGTACTCGGTGTTTGGAGTGTGCTGGTTTTGTCCCATCACTTGGTGTGTTACATGGTGTGTATAATGTATATATTCAGTTCATAAGCACAGAGAGCTTGTGAGTCTGTGTGTATAAATCTCTGTTGTACGGTGCCCAGGCCTCTGTAATGAGCAGTCCACTGTTGTACAATCATAATTCCTTCTATGTCCTCAGATTTTCCCCAGGGCTGTGGTTTGGTGTTTGCCTGGGGTCAGAATGGTTGCTGATCCTGGGCTCAGCCTGGCTTACCTGAGGCTGGGATGGCACTTTTAGTTGGGACCAGCAAGAGCAGGTTCTCAGTCTGCAGCAAGTTTGAAAATTCCCACAACCCATTTGTGGCAAAAATAGCAAAACACAGCCTCTCCCAAGCACTTGAGGAGACATTGCACCTGACAGGTTCAGAGAGCTGCTCTGGTTTGTGCTGCAGCAGCAACACCTGACAGTCTTCCTCCTGCCAAAGTGTCCTGCTAAAACAGCAAGTCTGGTAGTTCCTAGCAAAGGGTTAACCACAGCCAGCAGCAGTTACTCCAGGCACAGGGAAGGGTTGGAGTCAGCCTCTGGAGAGGGAGTTGTTGTGGAGGTGGCTTTGGTATCAAATGTCGGACCCACTTGAGGGGCACTGCAGGGCTTTGGACAAGCTCCATAGACACTGTCCTGTTCTAAATGCTGCTCCTTTCAGTTTGGGCAGCTAGCCATCTATCCAGACAGGAGATACCAAGGGCTTGGGGGTGTTCGTGACAAGTAAACACAGATTTAATTTTTTTTATGAGCAGTGCTGGGTACTTGCCAAGCTGAATACGTGGTATTAAATGCAGACTGCTAATGAAAAACACTGCAAATGAGGAGCAGGTGCTCTGAGGAGTGAGCTGGCAGCTAAAACAGCTTCTAAACATTGACCCAGATGTAACATGAAGTGAGAGTTTTCCTTCTCACTGGAGATTTCTGGGGCTTTTTTTTTGTTGTTTGCTTTATCCCTGTGTGGTTGTCTGATTGCATAGAGAATAAAAGCAGTTGGGGGCTTTTATTCCTCCTAATAGAGTGGCTGTCCTCTCAGAAGAGGGTCCATCCATAACTTCTTTTGAATTTTATAAAGGGATAAGGCAAATTCTGTGAAATAGATGATTAGATAAAGATGTACTGGTGGTTGCTATTACTGCTTTTGTACAATCACAGAAACACTTAGATTGGGAGGGACTCCTGGGCATTATCTCACCTCCTGTCTTTACCAGTCCATTATTTTGGGTGGCCCCTTAACAGCTCAGTTCCCTCTCAGGTCACATACACGGGCTCCCAGCTCACTACCATCCCACTTCCTCGTGCTCCCCTGGTCACGTGGGAAGAGCCAGGGTGCACAATGCAGCATGTGCCTGGGGCAGGAGAGGACTGGGGCACCCCTGATAGCCAAGGGGCCCATAGGGATGAGGAGGTAGAGAAATCAGCTTCAAAGTTTTGGACCCAAGAAGACACTGCCTCCATAGCTGGTGTATCCATACCCAGGCAGCACATTGCTGCCAAGCTGTTACGATGCTGGGACAGGTCGAATCGCTGTCCTCCACATGGCCTGTGTGCACAGGACATCCTCTGGATCTTTGGAGACCTCATCTTCCTGCAGATCACTGTAGATGGCTCCCAGCACTGCTGATTCTCTCAGGTAATGGATGCCTTCATCTCTGTCAGTCCCCTCTGCAGGGGAGTTCACAAGACCATCCTCACACTTGGGAAGAGCCATCTCCAGGGACCGCAAATTGCTGCCTCTTTTCCAATTCCTCTCTCAATTCCCCAGTTCCATGGAAGGGATTCCAGCTGTAGGGCTTCCTTACTTTCCAGTTGCTCACTGTCAGTCCTGTTATCCCAGCCAGCTATTGGATGAACCAGGCAGCAATCTGCTCACCTGGAGTCCTGTAATCTTCCCACATGTCTCAAAGCTCCGACAGGGTAGTTTCTGCTTCTTGTCTGAATTCACTCACTCTTTCCTCCAATTTATTTGTTGGAGGACCGGCATCTTGATCAAACCTTTCCCCTTCTTCCTCCTTCCTTTCCTAATTGATGATACGGACCTGCTTTCTTCTTGACCACAGCTTCTTTTGCACTCCTGGGGCAATCCCTGTAGTTGCTCCTGTTGTTGGGTCCTGCCTCAACCACAGCCCCGAGAGCACTGAACTGTGTCTCCATAGGCACAGGCCAGGCCCCAGTACAGGGTGAGGGGCTGCTGGTTTTCACTGGGGTAAGGCCAGGCCCCCTTCCATCAGGTGACACATCAGTTTTCCAGGGTTGCTTGCCTATTCAGGTGCAAAGTCCCAGGCTATGGGAGGTGATATCTGTCTTAGGAACCTGCCCAAATCCTTCCACACACCCTGCCACCCAGGGAATGCCGCCTCAGGGCGCATTTCAGTATTGCCTCACCCAAACCCTTCTCTTACACCAAGATGACATCGGATTCCACCAACCCACAACACACCACCACTGTTGGTTAGTACTGTTCACAGCTCACGTAGGCGTGAACAAGAACCTCTGGAACCTGCACAGTCATCCACAACAGTCCCAAGTAGGGAGAGGGAGATGAATTCCCTCATCCTCTTACGGAGATGAGACAGCTCCCATGGAACAGCAAGGCCATCAATGCCAGGGACAAAGCCCAGAGCCATTGTTTGTACTAATGTGTTCCCAAGTTCAGCAAAATAAAGAGGTAAGCAGTGCAGCCAACAAGCTCCATGACTCACACAGGAGCTTCCCACTTAGTAACTGCTGTAGCTGTAGCACACTGGAAACAAAGCTGCCCTTGTCTCGTGCCTCACATCGGTGCCAAAAAGGACCGTGGAGAGTTGACCTTGTCTGGACATCAGGAGCCCACCAAGCTGCTCTATCAGTCCCCTTCTCAGCAGGATAGAGTGGGGGGAGGAAATAAAAAGGAAAAAAACCCACATTGGCCAAGACCAAAGGTATTTTAATAAAGTGGATTAAATAAAGATTTAGTCTTAGTGTCTGGCCACTTCCTGGGATGTAGGGCTTTAAGTGCACTGTGGTTGCTCTAGAAGACAAATGGAACAGCAAATGCTGTTGTCCTCCCCCTCCTCCTAACTTTTTTTGCAGGGCAGAATGAGGGGGGAACGTTGGACAGACAGTGCTGATGCTGTGGGAGCATCGCTCTGCAGCAGCCAAAACACTGGTGTGTCACCAGCCCCCTTGTAGGTACCAATGCCCAGCCCAGCATCACGGGGCTGCTGTGGGGAATGAGCTCCATCTCAGCCAGACCCTGTGCACACTTCTAGGTTTTCTTCTATCTGGTCACTAAGCCTCCTGCTGCCTGTAGCAGCTCTGCAAGCAACCAGCTGTACACTCCAGGGACCAGCAAAATGCTCCTGCACAGCAGAGAGCTCCTTTCAGCTTGAGGACAAAGAGCAAATTGTCCTCACAACAGCAGCTGCCGTCAGAGAGGTTTATTATTCCAGGGTATTGCAGGATCTCACACTTTGAATGAAAAGAAATGGAAACTGTTTGCTCTGTAGCTCACTGTCTTTCTCGTGCATCTGATATTTCAACAAAAAGAATATTTTTTTTTTGCAGACTGAATCAAAGATTAAGGGTGACCTACTGAGCAGACCATAACAAGGGTTTGCTTTTCCCCTGCCTTTTAGGGAATGGATTCCAAAGCCCAATGGATCTGATAAGAGTATTCTTTTGCCTGAACACTCCCCCTGAAGCAGGGCAATCTCTCACTGTACAGGCGCTGCAGGAGGGGGAGTTGTGGGTGCAGAAAGGCAAAAAATGCTGTCCAGCTGGGTGCTCATTTTTACTGTAAGGATATGGAAGGCAAGGGGGGAACCTCACATTGCTGGAGTATTAACTAGGAGTGGTGTTCACACAGTAGCTGAACAGAAAGAGCAGGTGTTCAGAAACCAGCTTAGTTGCTGCCACCTGGAAAGGAGGGGTTTGTGCTTTAGAGGGAACTCACAAAAATGTCATTTGGAGCCTTGATTTAGGAGACCTGATCTCTCTGGGTGCTGAACACAGTGCAAGAGACTAAAAGGGGGATGAGATCCAGTAGTTCATTTAATATGGGCCTTCAATGCAGTCAGTCCCTTTGGACCAAAATGCTCAGGGCTGGAGAATAATGATGGAGCACAGCTTGTGCTTGAGAATTGGGGTGTGGAGCAAAATCAATATCA